TAGCTCTCTTGTGGGCACGCAGGGACTCATGACTTATGATACGTTTGACCCTTCCTTCAGGCTCAGCCTGGTAATCTCCTACATCCAGTTCCCAACATGGACATCTCTTTTTGTACTTAAAGGTTTTCTGTGCCACTTGGATCTTTAGATTAACATTTAATCAATCAATCAATCAATCAATCAATCAATCAATCAATCAAAAAGCATGCTGCAAAGCACAGGTGCTAGAATTACCTTTATTTTTGAGAATGCCACTGACCCCTAAAAAGCTTCATAACCTTCTTTAAAGAATAAAAAAAAGGTGAGCCACTTAGAGTTGAATAATTTGCTTGGAAGTGTGACCATTATCCTTAAGACTAAAGAAGAGATATGGGAACTTTGATCATTTAGAAACTTTCCATTGCAGAAGTTTCCTTTATAAAATGTGCAGGATTTTTTTTTAAGCATGAAACATTCAATTTGTCTTGGCATTTGACACTATCTTATTTAATCTTATTTAATCCTTCATATGATCAAATTTAGTGATTCACAGAGCAGAGTGCTAAAGAGAAGAAATCTTGCACAGGGAAGATGGCTAAGCAATGGCTGTCAGGTTATAGCATGATAAATGTAGAAATAAATTATATCCAAATTCATAGTTAATTGGCTGACTTCACGTTGAGGCATACATAGAAGCATTCTCAATATTTCATTTTTATTGGAAGAATGAATCAATACTGATTGTTCCATCCCAGGTTCCTATTCTATTGTCACAGTTTAAGCAAGCATGAAGCACTCAATTTGTCTTTCCAGATTTTGTCTTCACAAGCCAATCCCCTTGCAATGATTGATCAGGTTGATTTGTTGTGGAAATGCCTCTTCTTTTTACTGTGGAATTAAGATACTTCTTTTAATAATCAAGCTTATCCATCATTGAAATATACATTATAGGCTCTTTCCATACTCTAATATCCAAAGAATTTACTCTCTTTAAGCAAATGCTGCGTGTGGACCAGTTTCACAGGGAATCTTTGGCATTTATTCTGAAATCACTACATATTATTTTTGCCATGTGACTGTTTTGGGTTTTCCAGGGTTCTTCCACCATCTATTGTCATCTATTGTTTTTTTTTTTTATAAAGTGGAAGAGTCATACAACTACAACTAAACATGAATTAATTTAAGTTACATTCAAGTCAATTCAATACTGATTTCTGATGATTCCTTGGGCATTTAATGATGTTTCTTTCCTGCCAATTGCCAATTAGTTTGGTGGCAATCTTTAGTGGGTTCGTCTGTGTTAGGAGTTTCATAACCTAAATGCAAACCTGGGGCTCAGATCAGGCAAACTCGTTATAGTAAATCTGACTTGGGAGAAATAATGGAATAATAGTATAATCCTGTCATGAAACAATTACTTTCTTGATGCTCTTAGTTACCCATTCTTAAAGAAAGCATCATTTATATCTGGGTCATTAGACAGAGTGAATTGGTTGGTTTAAATGAAAGATGCTGGAGAATGGTGGCAATAGCTCCCAGATAGCACCCTCATTTTGAAGGCAGACTCATGTACTTTTCAGGCACTTTGTCTAATATTCCCCAAGCTATTTTGCTGCCCTCAGTTGCAAAAGGGTGTTCTTTCCAGACAAAAGTCAGTAATAAAATTCAACTACTTATCTGTAGGATGAATGGTAAAGATATCTTGTTGTTTTCTTCAGACAGAAAAATGTCTTGGAGTAGTCTTGATGTGTGCAATATTGTGTACTAATAAATTTTATGGATCATGAATCATGGGCCTTTGCCTTACTACCTACTTCCAATTTGACAGACAAATATACCAATAAATCAGAGGAACACCCATGGGATCACTGCTCTCAGGACTCGTAGCAGAAACCATAATACAGCATGTGGAAACTGTAACAGTCTCACACATACAATCAAAAGTATGGATCAATATGATGAAACAGCACCTTCATCATAATAAAATAGGAACAACTAAAGGTAAAGACACCTGAAACAAACAACATCATCTTCAAAGGAATGCAATTCACAAGAGAAGAAAAAAGCAATACATTGACCTTCCTGGATATCTTTATCAACATAAGTAAGGGCTGTTTAGTAAAGTTTATTATAAAACCACCCACACTAACCAAATGTTCCACTACCAAAGTAACAGCCCAACTTCCCACATGAGAGGCTATCTAAGAACAATTTTTAGATCAGCACAGGCCCACAATAGCAACCCTGAACATCAGGAAAAGGAATTAGATCACCTCTACAACATCTTTCAGCAAAATGGATACCCAGGCAACTTTAGCAAAAAGTGCCTGACCATTCAACCCATTACTATATAACTCACACAAGCTATGAAAAAGGGTAATGCTTCCATACATTAAAAACATCTCAGAAACAACCAAGAGATTATTACAACTATCACCAAAGTATACAAACCAACTAAAGCTTTCCAAAACATCTTAAGTAAACCAAAAGACCCAATAGCCCTAAAAGAAAAGAAAAACAGGAGTTATCTACAATCTACTGTATAAGGGCTGTAATAGCCACTATGAAGGAGTGAACCAAGAGCCAAGAGACATCATGAAAACTCCTTAATTGTATAGTACAGAGACAGACTTCATCATAGTTTGAACTGAGCATCCTACACCAAGTTACATTTAAGTCCAAAATGCTAGAAAATTCCTGGAAGCCTGGGACTTATACAAAGAAGCCATCAAGAGGCACATGGAGGTAAACACATCCATTCAAGTGAGACAATCGAAAAGCTAAAAAAAGGAAACACCAGGCACAGTAGTTAGAACACAGTACTGCAGGACAATTCTGCTGACTGCTGGCTGCCAGCAGTTTGGCAGTTCGATTCTCACTGGTTCAAGGTTGACCCAGCCTTCCATCCTTCTGAGGTCAGGAAAATGAGGACCCAGATTGTTGTGGACAATGTGAAAGCCACTTAGAGAGGGTTGTAAACACTATGAAGCGGTATATAAGTGCTATTGCTACTAATATCAGACCAACAATCAAGCAGTAAAAATGCTCCAATCAAGGAATAACCAACTCAGAGAAACAAACAATAAACAACATCCTAATCAAGGACCTACAGTACCAAGAACACTCCTACCAACACTGACAGGGAAAACCACATCCTGTGACAAAGAACAACACCCACTGGTAGCATTGATGATCCTACCTAGTTGGGTAATGAAATGTCTGCAAGACAATAATCAAGCTCAGAGAGGACCCCACACGTTTGATTTTTCTGAAAATGAACATAAATTGACCTGATTTGCATCGCTGACAGAAATGCGATGATTGTGACCTAGTGATCTTGTGGACTTTGCATTTTTGTGAAATTCATGATGCAATGGTTTTTAACTGAAAACTTTGTAAGAAGGTGTATTAAAGTAATATTTATTTGCAGATTTTATATCCTTTATGTCAACAACTGTAAACATTGTATTCAGTTAAAAATAAATATGAAGCAAAATAACACAAACTAATAGGCTACTAAGCATAAAACCATTAAAAATATGGAAGGGAAAGAAAAAACTGGATTCATACCAGTGGTGGGTTTCAAATTGTTTTTACTACCGGTTCTGTGGATGTGGCTTGGTAGGCATGGCATGGCTTGGTGGGCGTGGCTTGGTGGGCATGGCTTGGTGGGTATGGCAGGAGAAATCTCCATTCCCACCCCACTCCAGGGGAAGGATACTGCAAAATCTCCATTCCCTCCCCAATCCAGGGGAAGGATGCTGCAAAATCCCCATTTCTTCCCGATCAGCTGAGACTTGGGAGGCAGAGAATAGATGTGGGTGGAGCCAGTCAGACTTTTTACTACCGGTTCTCCGAACTACTCAAAATTTCCCCTACCAGTTCTCCAGAACTGGTCAGAACCTGCTGAAACCCACCTCTGATTCATATAGTAATCTTTAACAAAGTAGTTAAGAAATATGGTGTCTCCTGAATGACAAGGAGGAAGAGCCACTGCAGAAAAGGCCTATTTGTTTTAAATAGTCAGATGGATAGGTAGATGCAGTATTGCCTCTTCGGTTGATCTTAGTGACCATCTGGTTCTATGGGAAGAAAGGCCATCTACAGTTTCTTATGGTTCCAGTTTGCACCAGGCAGTATAGGTCAAAAGCAATTACTAATAGCCATAATCTAAAACTAATCTACCGGTGTCCCATTCAACACATTGACTATTATGTTCTGCTCAGCTGCAACCTCAGGCAAAGAGCAAAGGTGACTCCACCTAGAGTACCCAACACTAGAGTAACCCAACACCCAATGTGAGGTTATCAGTGCATGTACCTTTGTACAACATTCCTGTTGTCATATCTGCTGTACAGTATCAATTGAAGATATTATTTTTGTCTTAGTCCTTTATAAACATTTACGAATTTAGGAGTACCACAAATTATAAATCTGCTCTTTCTGAGGTTTTACATACTCCACCATCATCAGACTTCTCAGCCAAGAACAGGCAAACGTCTTAGTTGTTATCCCTGAGCAGCACCAACTGGAAGAGTTTCTGATTTATTAGGTTCCACAAGGCAACATAAAATGTCTTCATTGCAAGCAACCCATCCAACCTTCAGTATCACATCCACAATCTATTTACCACAGAATTCCATATCCTGCCACCACCAGAGACCTATTGTCAGCCATACTAAAGACTAACTTCCCATTCTGTATTTGCAACTTGATTAATAATTCATATGACTATTTCACTCAATATGGCAAATGCATGATTTTTAAATAGAAAGATTATTTTTGTGTAGGATTTTTTAAATGTATGAAGCAGTTCTCAGTTCTTTATTTTATTTATTTATCTGTCATAAATTTATGCACTACTTTCTATTAAAATGTTTAATGGTGGTAACAGTTTATAGCTAAATCAAAATAGTTGATAGCAACAATTATGTATTTAAAAATTTATCTGGCAGGTGAGAATGTAATAGTCATAAAGATTATGCCATACATTGTGATGTTTATATTGTCCTTTGGTGCAGAAACTGAGATATTCTGGGAAAGAAGCAACAACTGTTCTGGGTCCAGAAAAATGGAGTAGAAGTTGCAGCTCCTTAGCTGTGCAGGTATCTCAGACTCTTCGAGGCGCATGGCAACACATGATGATTTTATGGCAGGTAAAGACCTCCTTCCTTCCTTTCTTCCTTCCCTTCCTTCCTTCCTTCCTTCCTTCCTTCCTTCCTTCCTTCCTTCCTTCCTTCCTTCCTTTTTTTTTTTTGTAAATTCTCAGAATGGAAGTCTGCTTACATATTGGGTTTTCCTACTCCTCCCCTGAAAATTCTGTCCCGAGTGGAGCTAACCTGAGGCAAAGCAAGGGATATGCAAGATTGAAGGATTAACAAATGACGGTTCTTTTTTCTCCCTTCTATTATTCATTTTTATTTTATTTTATAGGAAAGTATCAAGCTCAGGTTGCAATATATTGTGGCAGCATTCCCAAACTAAAATCTGGATGCAAGTCATCTAGAGGTGGAAGCATTGATTCTACTTTGCAGCTCCAAGGAAATGGATGGAGGACCACAGACGAAGGTGAGGACACTACCCTGGGTATGATTGGCAGCCTAGATATGGTGGTGGTTGGTGGACCCCAATAAATAGGAAATGAGACTTAAGCTGACTTTCTCTGATGTCCAGTAGAGCTGTGTATGATTTTTATTGATCAATTTGTGTGTATGTTCACACACATTTCAGTGACTTTTATGTACACACAGATCTCCAAGGTGCTACAGCTTGAGCAGTAATCTTGGGATTAGCTAAAGCCAGAAAACAGTGCTATTATCAGCATAATATGGGTGAAATCTTATGGGAACTTGCAAGTATTGAGACAATTTGAAAGAAGAATATATTAGACTGGAAGCAGAAATAGTCAGCCTTTCATAGTGGTGTTGCAAATTTAAGTCTAGCTCATGGAAAACCTGTGAGAAGCAGTTCAACAATATACTGCATAATGCTGATCTGCTCCCAAACCAGGAATAAATTACAAACACAAAGAAATTTGAATTTTATATAGAGATATTGGCATCATGATATTGCTGTTTTGATTTCTAGATAGTATTCGTTTTATCCCATTCAATAGTCTTGCAAATTCTAAGACCTTTCAGTAACTCTCTTTTCCCCATCCCTGCACGGTAAGCTATTTTTTTTCAGAACATTTTATTACTGTATGCAGAATTTTGCGGAAGGAAGAGAAGCCACATCTTACTTTGCATCTGACTGTCTGACTATCCTTGCATCTGATGTTCTTAATCAACCTCCCGACTTCCTAGTTCTCTGGAGTCCCAAAGGTGCTTTTTCAGGAGGCAACTGGACTTCCTTATTTTTTCTTTGAAGACGTTTCGCTTCTCATCCAAGAAGCTTCTTCAGCTCTGACAGGATAGTGGGGAATGGAAGGATTTATATTTCTTGCAGATAGCTGGTCATTTGCAATCCTTCCATTCCCCACTATCCTGTCAGAACTGAAGAAGCTTCTTGGATGAGAAGTGAAACGTCTTCAAAGAAAAAACAAGAAAGTCCAGTTGCCTCCTGAAAAAGCACCTTTGGGACAACCATTTATTTATTTATTATTTAAATTTATATACCGCCCTTCTCCCGAAGAACTCAGGGCCTTTTAAAAAAACCCTTTTTTTAAAAAAAATGAATTAAAAACAAAAGCAAGCCCGGCTTGCTGGAATAGAAAAGTTTTGAGGGCACGGCGGAAGGTGCGTAGATCCGGGATCCTTCGTATCTCTGGGGGCAGTTTGTTCCAAAGGGCAGGTGCTCCCACAGAGAAGGGTCTCCCCCTGGGGGCTGCCAGTCAACATTGTTTGACCGACGGCAGCCTGAGGAACCCCTCTCTGTGGGAGCATACTGGCCGGTGGGAGGCTACTGGTGGCAGAAGGCGGTCTCGTAGATACTCAGGTCCTAAGCTATGGAGCACTCTAAAGATGGTAACCAATACCTTGAAGCGTGACCTGGATGACTGAGAATCTCTGCAGATGTTTAGTTCTCTGGAGAAGTAAAATTCATTCTGAATAATCAAGCTGCCCTGCTTAAATTGTTCCACAGCATCAGTTTTAAAAACACAATCATGTTTATGGGGAAGCAAAGGAAAACCTCCAGATGTTTCTTCTCTGGAGAGCTGGGACAATAGAAACGGCCTTCAGAAGAATACAGATAGCACAATCATGAATGGCTCTTCACAGACGCCTAATGCCCAGCCAAAGTACAGTCTCAGTGAATTGGAGATAAACAGTGCAGCCATGGAGACTGCTCAAATCAAGGATAAGCTCAAAAAAAGAAGAATGTCCGAAGGTCTACTTGCATCAAAAAAAGGTATGATGAATTCTGGTAAGAAAACATTATCTGTAACCTTTATATATAATTGCTATAAATCAAGCATAGCTTTCAGCCTTGTTTGGATAAGTTGTCATTATTCTAATTTTATGACTGGAGACTGAGCCAGAATAGCGTAGCCAGTGAAACCATAATTCTTGAATCATTGGCTCCGTGGTCTAAAGCTCAGTTAAACTACATCATTAGAGAGAAGAAATACAGAGTAATTAAAATCTGCCATTAGTAATACAATTATCAATCAATCTGGCAACACATATCTGCAAGGCAACTGGACCAAAATGACAAAGTATTTATTTAAAGTTTAAAGACTGGTGTTGGATAACACGTGCTTGTGTAGTGCAGGTTTCTTCTCCCATAGTCTAGTAGGTGATGCCACAAATATACTGACTTCATTATGCTGGTCTGTGATTGCAATAAAGATTTGATTTGATTTGATTTACTGACCTCAATATAAAAGCAACTGAGAACCATTTTGCACACCAACTATTTTCAAATCAACCTGAAGGCTGCTTCAACTGAAATGAGAGTAAAGCTTGCCAAATTCATGCAGTAGATAGAATTACCAATTTGGGCTCTTTCTTGCATGTTACTCGTGTGTCCGGCCTTGTGTGAGTTTGTTGTATACACCTGATGCAGTTTTTTTTAAAAAAACAGGCCCAGTTTACTGGATCCCTTTTAATTTTTTTAGGTATAGCATACCATTAGATCTTGTGTAGTGCGGTGGCCTAGAGGTGGAGCTCTCGCCTCACAATCAGGAGGCTGTGAGTTCGATCCTAGGTAGGGGCAGATATTTCTCTCTCTGGGCACGATGAGAATATATCTGCTGAATATAACTCTGCATTGGCGACAGGAAGGGCACCCGGTCAGTAAACACTCAGCTCCAATCAGTTGCCCAGATTCCACCCCACAAGGGATTAAGGGGTCATTAAATGAAGATGATGATACCATTAGATCTTGTGTCTTTGAATTAATTGTGAGATAATGATCTTTATTTCCACATTTCAGCTAGGAGGAAGGCCCAGTTACTACTTATTCAGAAATAGGATATAGCTGTTTCTTGGATTCATTTCTGGAAGCTCATAATTATTGTAGGGGTTGGATTAACCTGGCACCTTGATCTCTGTATGCATAGAGATGATTGGAGGATAAGAATGCTTCATACCCTTATTCAGGGCATCTCCTGGTATTGAAAATAACCCACTGTAGGACAAACCTGATCTAGAAAATGAGTGATAATTCCTTATGCAATCAGTTTGTTGTTGCTGTGGGACACTGCCTTGAAGTTTGACATTAGCCTGCAAATATTCCCATGGCCATGTTTTTTATCTTTTATGTTTGCAGGCTTGCTGGACAAAGCTGTTCCCAAGGAGCCTGCCCTGAAACCAGCCATTTCTAGATCTGCTTCTCAAAGACTGCTGGTCACTTCCAAGCCTATGCCTCCTATTCAGAGCATACCAAACACCCCAGAGACCAACAGACCTCAAGAAACAGAGCAACAAGTTAGAGAGAATGGTTCAGGCTCTTTACAGGTTGAAGGGATTAATCCAGAATTAACATCCATCCAGCAGGTATAAAATATATGTTGCCTGTGCCTAAGAAATGGAAGCTTGAGCCGGGGGTTGGACTAGAAGACCTCCAAGTTACGTTCCAGCTCTGTTATTCTGTTTTTAGAATAACTTCCTTTCCTTTATATATCTGCTATTAAAAATGAGGATTTGAATGCATGGGTTATATAAATTCAAGTTGCATTGTTCCAAAAAATAGAAAAAAATGTATATTCAAGGGAAAAAAATGAGCAGGTTCTAGTGAGATCCAAGATTAGGGAAAAAAAATTAATCATAGAGTTATAGAAGGGGCAGTTTAGACCACTGATCTGAAACTTCTTTTAAAAGGAAGCTTACCATCTCTCCCAGTAGTTGCGTATACAAATAAACTACTCTTATCTTCAGGAAGGCTTATTATTTTACCTAGCACTGAATTAGTCTTGCTTTATTTAATAGCCACTGCAGCCCTTAAACTCTTCATTAGGACCATGCTTTGATCTTTTAATAACCCAAGCCAAGCAGTCCTTGCTTAACTCCACTTCCTTCATTTATCATTAAATCCTTGTACAATATGGATACTAGTGTTACCATGTTTCCCCCAAAATAAGACCCAATCTTATATTTTTTTGAACCCTGAAATAAGCTCTTGGCCTTATTGCCATGTGCTCAAAAGCCTGATTGGGTTTATTATCAGGGGATGTCTTATTTTGGAAGAAACAGGGTACTATTCTATTTTTCTTGGCCCTATACTACCAAAATGACTTCTTGTTAATATGAAACAAAAATAAGCTACCCTTGTTTGCTTTTGTGTCAAATGAAAGACCTTAACAGACCACTGAGAACTGACCTATAGATTGAGAGCATGCAGTATAAGAATAGACAAAATAAGCTTGCATCTAAGGATTGTTGATTCACATTGTAAATTATTGTTTCCAGAGAAGGCACAGTTCAACTTTGCCCTACAACTCCCATCATTCCCAGCTTGGTAACTCATTGGGAGGTGGCTACCAGCTTCAGGAGATTTATGTAGCCATTGGGAATATTAGAGTAATATTCCTGGGGACTTTTGGGTTGGGAGTTTTTCAACAGATCTCCTTCTTGTTGTTTTCCTTTGGTATCATTGGAAGAAGTTAAACCAGCCTATATAAGGAATCAGCAAGGTGAGCTGCACTGCATTAAAAATTCATTCCTGATGTGGGAATAATTGCTAAGGAAGACTATATATTTCCTATAGCACACTCAATGTGATATGATACTCTTCTAAAATTAATAACTTGCAGTAACTTAGATATGACAATTATTAAATGGCATTTGAAGAGGACCAAGGGTCCTGTGATTTTATCTTATCATTTAGGTTGAGAAGTTGTTGAGGGCCAGCAGGAGGAGCACTAATTCAAAAAAGTAACAGGCTTCTCTTCTGAAAAGCAGACTTTGGTGGAAGGTCAAAAGAGTTGCAAAATTGGCCAGAACTCAAGGCTAGGAATAATACATATATATCCTGGAGAGTGAGAGCTAAATTTATTCCAGTAAAGTTTTTTAAAGATAAGAATTTAAAAGGAATCAAGAGCTGAAACTCTGAGGGGAAAAAAGAAGAAAAGAAGGAAAAACAAGTAGAGGGAGCTCTTATTCCACAGCTAACATTAATAGAGTGAAAAACCAGAAAACAAGGAAATACTTCAGCTTTCATGCGATGTGGATTTTTTTCTCCCATCTTTTTGCTTCCTGAAGATTTCTGTACAACTGAAAAATGTATGTTTGCATAAACAAGAGATTAGTTTTTTTTGACCCTTTGAAGTTGAGCTTAAGTCCTGCTGACTTTCTGAACACATTCCTGTAGTTTTCTTGGCAATGTAACAGAAGTGGCTTGCCAGTGCCTTATTTTGGAATGATTTTTGATTTTCCAGTGTAACCTACAGATCTGATGGTCTGTCACTCAAGTTTTCTATGTTTATATGAGCTGAGGTGGCGCAGTGGTTAGAGTGCAGTACTGCAGCTGCTTCAGCTGACTGCTAGTTCAGCAGATCAGCGGATCAAATCTCACTGGCTCAAGGTTGACTCAGCCTTCCATCCTTCCGAGGTGGGTAAAATGAGGACCCAGATTGTTGGGGGCAATATGCTATTTAGTATACTGTCTTTGGTGTAAGCCGCCCAGAGTCCTCGGAGAGTGGGTGGCATAGAAATATGACTAATAAATAAATAAATTTTCAAGTTTCTCAGACCTGACTCTGCGTAGCTTTTCAACTTGACAATGTTGGCCAAGTGTTGCTACTTTCTGAAGCAGAGCTTGGTTTAGCTGGAGTTGAGGGGTATCTTATTTTCCCCTTGATTTATTTGTTTTCAGTAAGAATAGTCCAATTATCCTGGCCTTTTCTTTTCCACTGTACCACCTCCTAAGGGCAAAGAAGTTCTATACTGTATATGGGAACATAATGTGACCTCTGATTTCCATTATGGAGTTGTATATTCTACATGAGTTTTCTGAAAGGTCCAATTGACTCTTAGCTATGCCAGTATAGATTAGTCTTTTAAAGAAGAATTATTCAGTTCTTGATACCTGTGCCTGAAAACATATTCCTACCAACAAGTCAAAATAAATTGCAAGAACTTCTGCTTATGTGGTATTGACAAGTGAGGTGTCAAATCAGTTGCTGATTCTTGCATTAAAAGTATCCCTTGCCTATCAAAATAACTTACTAGTTGAAGCTTGTTTGACAAGATGAAGCCCTGGAGAAAGTTTGACTCAGACAAAAGAAAGCTTAAGGCAGCAGGGAACTTAGAGCAGGATTGTCAGGCTTTGGGACAGCTCTCAAGCAAATCACTCACTTTCTACAGCAGGGTGAAATAAGTGCAGAAACTTTCCTGAAGCCTCTCCATCTAATTAGAATTACTGCCTTAGCTGAAATTTCTTCTGAATGTTTAGTTCAGTTCCATTTCAGTCTTCTGTATGTGGTCCCTCAGGTGTCTTGAGTTGATAGTTTTGTTATGAGCTACTGATTTTATGGTCCTTGCTGAACTGTTATCTGTCATAGATTTGACATAGGTTTGCTCCAAACGGAATATTTAAATCTCCTCAACTCAAATGATTTCTATAATTCTATCCCCTTTCAAGCTTCTCTTAGGTCACAGGTCTATATTTCAATCATTGTTTGGAGTCATGAAGCTCATAGGGGTGTAAACTTCTGACCAAGTATCCCATTAAGTAGAGATCAGGGTTCAAATCCTAATAAGCTCCCAACCTTTCTAAGTGACTTTGGATCAGTCATTCTTTCTCAGCTAGAGAGAAGATAACTGAGCCTACTGCAATAAAATCAATCAATACAGGTAGCCCTTGACTTACAACCTTTTGTTTAGTGACTATTCAAAGTTCCAAGGGCACTGAAAAAAATGACTTATGACCGGTCCACACACTTACGATGGTTACAGCATCTCCATGGTCATGTGATAAAAATTCAGGCATTTGGCAACTGGTATGTATTTATGACACTGGCAGTGTCCTGGGGGACATGCGATCTCCCCAGTTGGCTTCTGACAAGCAAAATAAATGGAGGAAGCTGGATTTGCTTAAAGACTATGTTATTCACTTAAAAACTGCAGTGGTTCACTTAACAATTGTGATAAAAAGTTGTAAAATTGGCTACAACTCACTTAACAACCACCTTGCTTAGTAACAGAAATTGTGGTCTCAACTGGGTTCAAAAAGTCAAGGGTGGCTGTGTAGGTAGTCCTTGTTTAGCAACCACAATTGAGACTGGCAACTCCTTCACTAAGAGCAACAATCATAAGTGGAAAATCACAGGACTGTGATGGGATTATGACCTGGGTTCCCATTCAGTCATTAAGTGGATCCACACAGTCATTAAATAAAACATCACATGACCATGATTTAGGATTTTTACTTCTGTGTTCACCATTAACTCTGCTTGTCGTGAGCCGTGGTGATGCAGTGGTTAGAATGCAGTACTGCAGGCTACTTCTGTCTGCTGGCTGCCAGCAGTTTGGCAGTATGAGTCTCACCAGGCTCATGGTTGACTCAGCCTTTCATCCTTCTGAGGTGGGTAAAATGAGGACCCAGATTGTTGGGGGCAATATGGTGACTCTTTAAACTGCTTAGAGTGGGCTGTAAAGCACTGTGAAGCGGTATATAAGTCTAAGTGCTATTGCTATTGTCACAAGCCAGTTAGGAAGCGGCTGAATAGCAATTACCATGGGACTCTGTTCTGGTTGCAAATGTGTAGTTTGGTTTTGAAGCTTTTCTTTTTTTTTTACACTGTCATAACTTCAAACAATTGCTAAATGAAGCAGTCGGAAAGCAAAGACTACTCATACTGCAATAAGTCAATATACACTTAAGAACTGCTTTAATTAATTAATAGAGCTGCACATCTTACAAATAGATAGGTGGCAAATAAATTTGATAAATATCTAGATAAGGGGTCAGCAACCTGCGGCTATGGAACAGCTTATGGCTCTTTCACCCCTCTGCTGCGGCTCCCTGTCACTTAAAATATGTGTCACAACTGCCAATGTGTGACACCCACTGGTACGCAATTTATTGAGCTTTTCAACCCCTGGTAGGCCAACCATGGATAAATCCAAGAAAAGAAAAGTTTCAGAAGAAAGCAGAACGTTTAATTCAACTACATATGCTAGTTTGGTGGCCGCTCAAGAAATAGTCAGGCAAGGGAAGGTTTTGTGACTCCCTGTGTTTTCTTTTTTGCGGGAAACAGGTTCAAATGGCTCTTTGAGTGTTTAAGGTTGCAGACCCCTGATCTAGATAAACAAATATGATTCTAGGCAGCATACAATAAAACAAACAGTTAAAAACAGGTAGATGAAATGGGAAGAGGTGGTTGCTCAAATAAGCTGGTTCTCATACCCCAGTGACTTTCAGCAGAGTTCTAAAGTTATTTTTTTCTCCTATCCATCCCTGTAGATCGTGCATGGTCCTGATGAGAACCCAAAAAAGTCTTTAGGTGCTGCTTTGATCCCACCCATCCCCAAGTTAGCAAAGGCATGTGAAGAAAATTCGCAGAAGGCTGCAGAACTCTTTCCAAGCTTGCCACAGGCAGACTGTGTCTCATCTACTATAGATGAGTGTTCCAAAACAAGGTAAGCCTTTTCTGCTGTTCTTGTTCCTTTTTTCCCAAAGTCGCATCTAAAAAGCCTCATTAGTTGATTTTAAGGCAGCCTTCACCAAATGGCACCTTCCAGATAGGCTAGTTTCCAATTCCCAGCAATGTTTTGATATATTAGCTGGGGAATCCTGGGAGTTACGCTTCCCATACATCTGGGCCACGCTGATGTTATTTTGGAGAAGGTTTCTCCAATAGGTTATTCATTGTCTTATGTAAACTTTCTCAATTTCATTAAGTAATAGACCATCTTAAATCTCACTTGTTCAAATAGAAACGCGCATTACACTGCAGTGCTGTACAACTAAGTAAATTTCTAAGTTTCTGAATAAAAAGAGAGTTTTGCTGAATGAGACCAAAATCTTTCTTAAAGTTGCTTTTAAAGAAACCAAATGTCTTTACAAATCCCACAAGGCTGTTGTCCTCTCTTGTTGTTGCATGTAGCAGCTTGTGAAGAGGGATTTGATGCTTATGGCATTGTGCAATAACTGAACAATGGGTTGGGAAATTCTTGGTTCAGATCTCTGTTTTGCTTGTGTTTGCAAGCTAGTTATGAGTTAAGCATTTCATTGTCTTGATTAGACACACTTTTTTGGCCCACTCCAGACACTCCCTGCAAAATGAGAGTTCCAACAAGTTATTGTACTTAAAGTTCCTTCTATAGCAATAGCATTTAGATTTATATCCTGCTTCATAGTGCTTTACAGCCCTCTCTAAGTGGTTTACAGAATCAGCATAGCGCCCGCAACAATCTGGGTTCCTCATTTTACTTACCTCAGAAGGATGGAAGGCTGAGTCAACCTTTAGCTGGTGAGAATCGACCTGCTGAACTGCTGGCAACCAGCAGGCAATAGAATTAGCCTGCAGTACTGCATTCTAACCACTGCATCACCATGACTCTTTCTATCAACTAAGAGTTCCCTAAATTATTATATTTGCCTTTTTTTGCTGAAAGACAGTTTAATCTCTCTCTCTCTCTCTCTCTCTCTCTCTCTCTCTCTCTCTCTCTCTCTCCCTCCCTCCCTCCCTCCCTCTCTCCCTCCCTCCCTCTCTCTCTCTCTCCACTTCCCCCGACCCAATTGCCTTTAAGATCATTATCAAAGTCTGGAAATGGTGAAGACAACAGCCAAAAAACACTGGGTAGGTACATATAGTAATTTATTTGAGCCTAAACAATGGTTGGATATTTCAGGATAAGTTAAATGTGGTTCAAAGTAAGCCTTTTGCAGTGGAGATGCCTTGTCTCATTCATGGAATTCTGCTGGGCAGTGAGTAGCTAATTATCTCATTTTTCCTCCTCATGTGGGAAGGATGGACAAATCTCAGATTCCTTCTGGTTGGTAGGGTCAGTCAGAACAGACTGTATGAAAACATTCAACTGTACCTTAATAAAAGGAAATTAAAAATGAAAATGATTTTATATAACTTTTGGTGACTTCTTGGAAACATCCATGCAGTAGTTTTCTTAATAACAATGTGGAAATGATACAACTGATATTCTTGGAATTTTTGGATACTTTTCTAATTATGTTGTAGCCAGGTTGGACCTTGCCTCGTTTTTCCAAGATTAACTAAGATTGGCTGTGTGTTCCCATCTTCATTTTATTAAGATGAACGCTAGGAATTTTTTGTGTAATATCTTAATTTTATATTTCTCTGTCTGAGCTACCTGACAGGATTTTATGAGAATATATCATATATGCTACTTTGATCACTATGGAGAAAGGCAGTAGATAAATGTAAATGTAATAAATAAAAATTAATGAAGCTAAAAGAACCTATTTCTATTGTCATAGTGCGGGGCATTCTGTTATTGCACAAACAATCATGAAACTATATTACTGATCTGCTGAACAGAAAAATGATAGTTTTTCCCCCCCTATGGCAGCTTTAGCAGTAAAAGTACTCCAGGCTGGAATGAATTAAACACACAAAGACTTCTTGATTTTTAAACAATTGTTGTATAAATTATGATTGGTTTATAGTTTGAGTTCATTGTTTTTTAAAGCAGATCCTTTTTAATTCTCACTGGTACAAAAAGCTCAGCTGGAAAGTCATTCCTTGTGGTGTGTTAAAATGAAATGTCACATTTTATTCTGGGGTGACTGCCTGGTCAAAGGTGTTAATTTCAAAGGGTAAAGCTGCTTGCCTTGATAATTATTCCACAGCAGAGATAGCTGGAAAACAAATTTATTGCGATAACTACTTTAAACTAGCTGTATTCTTTTATGATGCAGTTAAATTTCTTTTCAGACAAGAACAGGTATTTCATCTGGATCCAAAATTTGGAGTTTAGCTCCAGTATCTAGCAGTCAAAGATGTTAGAATGCATATCTAATATTTTTGCTGCTTTCACGAAACCATTCATACAGTATATATGAATGGAATATATACTGTATATGGGATACAGTAATATAGCAAAGCAACCTTCTTGTTATTTTTGTCTGAGGTCTTTACAATTTTCTATGGCTCATATTCATTTTTTTTATTTATTTTATTTTTATTTTTTTAAAATTTAATTTGATTTATATGCCGCCCTTCTCCGGAGACTCAGGGCGGCTTACAGTGCGTTAAGCAATAGCCTTCATACTTTTGTATATTTTATACAAAGTCATCTTATTGCCCCCACAAACTGGGTCCTCAATTTACCTACCTTAGAAAGGATGGAAGGCTGAGTCAACCTTGAGCCTGGCAAGATTCGAACTTACTTTAATTGCAGACAGCTGATGTTAAATTACAGTGCCTTTGTCTGCAGGCTCCTTTGACTTTTTTCTCTGCTTCTATCCTGATCCTGATCTTAGGATAAATAGAAATAGAATAGAGTATAAATTAGGAGCCTGAGTGGCACAGCAGACTAATGCTACTGTTAAAGGTAGTATTTAACTTCCAGCTGCCTGCAATTACTGCGAGTTCAATTCTCACCAGGCTCAAGGTTGACTCAGCCTTCCATCCTTTCTAAGGTAGGTAAAATGAGGACCCGGTTTGTGGGGGCAATAAGCTGACTTTGTATAAAATATACAAAAGTATGAAGGCTATTGCTTAACGCCTTGTAAGCTACCCTGAGTCTCCGGAGAAGGGTGGCATATAAATAAAATAAATAAATAAAAATAAAATAAATAAATATTTATAATTTTATAAGTAAATAGCATATAACTATAAAGGCCATTTAGGTCATTGTTCAATCCCTGTTCAGACTATAACATAATAATACCAGAAAATCTTGGACGGCACTTAGAAAATCTGCACATTGACAAAATTTCCACCTGTCAATTACAAAAGGCCCCGCAGCTTGGATCGGCACACATACTATGCCGATACAGTGCAGCATCCTAGTTTTTTGGAAAGAACTCCGTGTGTATGATGACCAACGGCAGCTGTGATTTCATATTTTTGTGTATATAATAATAATAATAAAATTAAAACAGACAAGCTCCTGCCACATAACACTTATTAACACCATTGATTAATGTTTACTTATTCTCCAACCCAATTTTGTCCTTCTTTGACTTATTTGTGCTTATTATAGGATCAGAATATTGATCTTTCTAGCTCAATAGGGTCGGTGCTCCCTGATTGCAGCTCCTTCCAAGATTTCAGATGAGTTGCCTTGGAATTGAGCCTGGAACTTGAGAACACACATATTTTGCACTTGAGCTCTGCCTAACTTGGAGAGGCCACTTCCTATTCTAACTTAGGTTGTAAGGATCAATCCAAGGAATAAATAATTACTGTACTGCCAAGATCAAAACTTTCCTCATATAATTCATCTTGCCAGTTCTTGACAGAAGAATAAGAAAGAAGGAAAGGGGCTACAGTATCTATTCTTTATTTCAGGAGCTGATGGGAGGGAGGGAGAGACACACACACACACAGAGAGAGAGAATATTGACAGGAATGATTATCCACTGGAACTAACACAGTTAGAAAGTGTAGAAACAGGTCACTCTGTGCCAAGGAAAGAAGTAAGCAGTTTATTTCAACCTTCCCATGGAGTTGATGGTTGGCACCTGTACATTTTTAAATCCCAGGTAAAGCAACAGAAAGAAGTTAATGTCAATTTAGTAATGAAATTAGAGTAAACATATATGGTAACACACCTCTGTGTCAGCTAAATGGTTTCATGCTTGTAGATATTTGCAAGTGAAAGAGTAGAGATGGAAGGATGCTTAATAATTCTCTCATCAATGGCTGATAGTCATTGAGAACCTTTTCCAGACCCGTGAGCTGTTATTTGGGCTCCTTTGAAGATGGATTTAATGCTCTTCTGGAACTGTAGCCTTTCATCTGGGTCTGAAAGGAGTCTATCAGTTGGTTTCTCTGTGAATACAATCATACAAAATACTTGCACAAGGCAGATTGAGTTTTCTCAGGTGATTAACCTGCCAGTTTAGCCTTCTGTCTTAACTCACTTTTTTCTTAGTGCAGCCTATTCCATGTTTAAGGAAAGGGATTTATGGTATTTTCATCCTGGGGTGCAGCTTGATAAGAGAAGATGGAAAGAAAGTCAGAGGCAACACCAATCTCCAACCTTAATGTTTCCCAAATTCCATAAATAACAATAGCACCATTTACTGACATTGTGTTTGTGGCAGGATGAGGATCATCAATGGGGACAGTAAATTTTATACTGGTACAATGCTTTAACCTTTCTATGAACAAGAGCCCTTTAACTCCATCTACAGTGGATGATTCAATTTGTTGGAATGCCCCTTGATTCTTTTCTTTGTTCTTGCTGTCTTCACAAATACAGTAGTTACAGTCCACAGTAATATATTCCATTTTTTTAAATTGGCTTGTCAGAAACTGGATTGTCTGAACCTGCTTTCCAGAATGGCTTTCCTGCACCTTGGAAGGTTGTTGGGGGATCACTGGCATCCTTACTGCTACCAGCCACCTCCTCCCTCTGTCTGGCCAAGGAAGACTTGCTTTCAAATCCTCACCTGTTAAAAGATGATGAATGGAAAGAGAGCAACGGAAGGGTATGTTTCTGTTTCCATCTTTTGCATCCTTTGGCATGAAGGCCAAGGTGAATTTTAAGCTTGGCATTTAGCAGGAAGAAGTAAAGAAATCATTACAAGAAGGACTCAAACTGGCACAAAGGGATACTGGGAATGCTATTTGGAAGGCGGGCATCAAAGCTGAGCTTGTTAGGCTCTGCTCTGCCATTTGCAAAGCTGGCATTATCAAGCAATGAATGATGAATTTCCTCTGAGATACGATCCTCAAGCTTTGGAAAGGAATTTCTGGAGGAGAAGAACAGAGGAGAGAGAGGGAATGATACTGGCAGGATCAACAACCCAGGAACTCAACCATCAACATGAATGCTTCCCTCTCCAACAGAAAGGCAGTGATGATGAATTAAATAATGAAAACCTTAGTGGCTTCCCCACACTTCATTTTGCCCAATGATAGGCTGGCCTAGTCTGGAATTCCATCCATCTGTTCATCTATCCATTTATCCATCCATCCTCCTTCCCTTCTGTAAAGGGCTTTTCTTCAAGAGCTCAAGGCAGTTCTATCTGCTCTATCTTTTCTCTCCACAAATAGCTCCTTGAGATAGATTGTGCAGAAAAAGAGCCCCTGGCTCAAAATCAACCAGTGTGTATTCAGTGCAGAAGCTGGCCTAAGAGGTAGGTTTTTCCATTCCATTCCAGCATCTTAGGTACTACACTATATTGGTCTTTTCAAAGATTTACTTAAAGATAAGCTTTTATAAGCTTATAATAAGCTTATAAATAGCTTGACTCCCAATGCATAGGTAGGTAGGTAATAAAGTGGTAGGAATAAATTTGAGTCATTCGTTATTAATTATTGTGGAATATCAACAAAGTCTGTATGATATCCGCAGACTCACACTCCACAAACAGCAGCAGCCATCAAAATGAATACATAATTTAAGTAAAAGCATTGCATTTTATGGAATGCAAAAGAATAAATGTCACATTGAAAATGTGTGAGAATTATAATAAATGTGAAGTAGTGAATTGGCCTTTGATACGAGCAATTTATGTTCAACACAATGTTAAACTGATTAGGAAGGGTATATTCTGATACACTGCAATCTACCACTTCCATTTTAGTTGTCCCAGATCAGATTCTTTCTAATCAATTCAGCATTGTGCTTCTTAAGCTTTTCTATCTGGGAGGCTGAACAGCTTTAGGGTCAGTATGGGCTTAACATCAGCCCCAAACTAGCAATATGTCTACATGATTTCATAAGAGATTGCCTATATAAAAAAAATTGCTGCAGGTCTTTTTTTTCTTGCTTTATTTTTTCTGATGTTGTACAACATCCCTTGATATTTTTTTCTGATTCAGTATCTGCCTCAGATTAAGCTTTGTCTAGTAATTCCAACTTTGGGTGACAAATAATATGAGGTAAGGGGAATACAGGATTAGAATTCCTTATGTTTTCCTTTGAAAAGCAGCTGGTGTGTTTGTATGAGTATAACAAATTGGATTGATTCTGTATCATTAGGAACTGGGCTTTAATGCTTTTTCTCCTGCACCATTTCACTAATGTAAATTGGGCTCCTGGTCTCAAAGCTGCTGTTAAGCATGAAAGAAACTTCAGCAGGTACCTATGTTACATATGGTGCATTTTCCCTCTCTGCTTGCAATTAGTTTCAGACTTAAATCAAGAATTAAATGGCTGGCATTCAAATATCTTCTAACAGCGCTGCTCCTTCTTCCATCTTTATAGATACTTGTAAAGATGCTCAGAGATCTAGTGAGAGAATCTGCCATGTCATGATTCGTGTCTAATATGGCTTGAATCTCACTTTTTAAAAGCCCAATCTGAATTTGTTGTTAGTTGTGAAATCGTGTCCAACCTATCGTGACCCCATGGACAATGTTCCTCCAGGCCTTCCTGTCCTCTATCATCTCCCGGAGACTATTTAAGCTCACGCCGACTGTTTCAGTGACTCCATCCAGCCACCTCATTCTCTGCCGTCCCCTTCTTCTTTTGCCCTCAATCGTTCCCAGCATTAGGCTCTTCTCCAGTGAGTCCTTCCTTCTCATTAGGTGGCCAAAGTATTTGGCCAATCTGAATTACACATGCTAAATTGATGGAATTTTCCATGCCTATCTAGTCAGGTTGACTCCAATGAAAAATGAAGAGCATGAAACCATAATTCACATTGATAAAAATTTTATTTTGGGTTATAATAAATTATTAATAGTAATGTAATCAATTAATCTGTCTCTTGACTATTCTGTACAAGTTATTCTGTCTACATATATGCACCTGCACCCATACACATATATAGTTGTATCAAGTGTGTATGCTTCTATTGCATCCAGATTCATGTCACAATATCCAAGTCAGCACAGGAGAAAATGCGTCAGAAGCAGCTAAAGGAGATAGAGTTCTTGCGCAAAGAAAAGGAAAAGGAGAAAGGGAGAGAAAAGGAAAGATCCACAAAAATCCAGGAACAACAGTCAAGAAATGTTCTGGACGGTATGTGATTAACGTAAAAGAAGGGGGAAATTTATTTTTGGATTCATTTTGTCCAATCACATTAGAAATGGTCTAGTTCCAGCTTTAAGGAGCCTACCTACTCCCCTCCCCCCTGCACTCATGGTGTCCTCTGGTGAACTTAAAGTGGATTAAAATGGAGCCCTAGACAGCAGTAGGAAAAGTAGGTTAAACAATCCAGCTCTGTTAGTAAGCACATTGTCTGATTGGTTTGAAGCTGCAGCATCCAACAGAAGATTAGTTGGACGTTATATTGGCAAATTAAAATTCTGATAATAGTAGCTGCTTTACACCACTTTTTTTAAAATAGTGCCAACTAAAATGAATTTTTAAAAGTTTTTTTTAAATTAAAAATATCTATATGCCAGTATTGGCCCCATTTATGCTGACATCAGGTGAATTTCTACGGGTTTTATGTTTTAAAAATAGAGATTCCCTAAAAGGGTCTGTTGGATCTGACATAATGTTTTGTCCAAACCACATATTTTAAAAAAGCAACTTTGGCTTTTGTGTAACATAACGGGACTTGCGCATGAAAAATTATTAGGGTCTAGGATAAAAGCAGCTGAATTTTTAGGGATATTTTTAAAATAAAAATTCATAAGACTGGAATACTAATGAGGATAGTAAAATAGTCTTGATCATTTATTAATGTGAACATCCATTGGTCCAACAGTGCAGTAGATGAATTGTTTTCCCCTTCCATTGTATGTTCTGTCAGATGTTTCTTCCACCATCCTTCACTGACCTCCTTAAATTGCTTTCTGCAGGATCCAGTTGGCTTAATCACAATGGAGCCACCCCTGTTACCCTCAACCTGAGCAACCCTTGCAGAGCTTCTGTTGGGGTGGCCTTAAGGAAACGAGTGAACAGGCCCTCATTGCCCAGCATCCCTGTTATCAGCCAAGAGAGCAATTTCTTGAGACATGCGTCAGGTGTGACATAAAAATTCTGCCAGCTTTTTATACGTACCCCTTTTGTTCTTGCTATTATATGAATGGGAAAGAACTTCATGGACTTCATACAGTTATTTTGTAGGAAAAAGTTATACAGAAGGTTCTTGCACTATGCATTATAATGTTAAATGACTTCATGACATCAGTGCTGTCTCTCACAGGGTGACCAGAGCCATTGTGAGTATGTACCTGTAGCCTGAGTTGCTGAGATATGATGGCTGCTTTGCCAGACAATGGCAACTCCATTTTTTGAGTCTTAAATGGTTTCTTTCACACCTCTTAAACGATAAACAATTAGGAAGGAAGGACCTGGAAGGAAAAGATGTGCATTTTCTGACTCTATTTCTGAGTCTTCTTCTTCCAGAACCCAGCAAAAGCATCACGTTTTCAGTAGGATGTGATTTATAGATAGATAGGTATAGATATAGATAGACAGAAAGATAGACAGACAGACATAGATTAGATATCTATATATATCTATATATAGGTATATAGATATAGATATACAGACAGACAGATAGACAGACATAGATATAGATAGATATTTTTTTCAGTAGGATGTGACATATACACACACACACATTCTTACCGGTTGTTTTGTAGGAAAAAGATATAAAGAAGGTCCTTGCACTATGCATTATAATGTTAGATGACTTCATGACATCAGTGCTGTCTCTCACAGGGTGACAGCCTTTACTACCGGTTTGCAACGGGGTCACGTGTGTGCTTGCTTTGGTTGCGCGTGTGCGCGCACCCTTCTGCACATGCACAGAAGCATTTTGATGACGTTGGGGTCAGTGGGTGGAGCCTCCCGCCAGTTTTACTACTGGTTCTATAGAACCGGTGCGAACTGGGGGCAACCCACCACTGATACCGATATATAAATAAAATAACATTTGAGTGTAATTTTATGTTTACAGCTAATTCCCTGCCAGCAAATCTCCAACACTCTCCAGAATGGGAAGAAGACCTTGTAAATAGGGATGCTTTTGAGATAAGACCCTTGTCTCATCCAGAACACGAATTAATTGATGCTCTCAAGTGGCTAAATAGCAATGATTGGTAAGGAAAGGAAGAATATTACTTTCTATGCTGCATGAAAGTCTGTGATGTCAAGTTTTGGTGCAGGATGTACATTGTGCTGCAGGTGGCCACCAAAATATTAATATTTGTAATTTATGCATTAAAGGCAAGTTGGGTAGGAACTAAGAAGTGTAATACAATCATGTATCATTTTGAAAAACATGTCTTCAAAGTGGGGGAAATGGATAAAAGACAATGGGAAAAGGTGGCAATATTCTCAGATATGTTGATTTCCCCAACATAATTATAATGTCTGCATGATGAGAATGCTATGGGGCCTGCAATCTTACATCCTGGACCCAGGAAGAAAGGCAGATTTACTACTTTTTCCCCCCTGTAGGGGGAAAACAAGTAGGTCCTGAATGGCAGGAATTCGTGCCTCATTTCACCTCTTGTGATTTCCTTTCCATGGTGGTTCTTTACATTGGCTCCCCATAACTCTGTGGCTCTTCTCAGATTTGGCTTTGCCATGCACTAGGGCCAGCTGATGTTGTATGGCTAGCTTTTTTTTTCTGATCACAAAAAGCCAATGCTTTTGCAAAAAATAAGGAAGAGGGATGGGGTTTATGTCATTGTAATTTTTAGCGTTCCCTTCCAGAGCAGCTGGTGGGACTGGCCAGTTTAGGGGAAGAAGAAGCTGAGGCGGAGACACCTATAGAAGGTATCAAAAAAGTCAAGTTGGTGCCGCCACTGAGTGGCAAGGGCCCTGCCCTGTTTTTGCCAAATGTTGCATTTGTAATGCATATTTCAGTGCTGAAATCCAATTTTTTTTACTCTGGGTCTGTGGGCGTGGCTTGGTGGGTGTGGTGTGGCTTGATGGGTGTGGTATTTGCTGGTTCTCCAAACTACTCAAAATTTCCGCTACTTACTGGATTTCATCCCTGGCATATTTAAAAGGAGGTAGGGTTAAAGGGCACAGCTGCACTTCTCTCGTCCTCCACCATGCTCCTCCTGAGGATACCCACAATGTGTCATGTAACATGTACATGCAACTAAGTTTGGAAGGCCAGGTCCAATTATAAGTATAGGTAATGAATAACATCAGACAAGTTATCTGGGATCCATCACCCATCAGGACTAGATTCAGTATTCCATCTGCATTTAAAAGACACAGACCACTCTTTTGAAGCTAGACAAAATGTCCACATTTTGGGCAGAGAGGACCGCTGGTTTGAAAGAGGGGTCAAAGAGGCCATCTATGTCAAAATTGAACATCCCTTTCTCAATAGAGGGAAAGGGGATACAACATCATTTATATCCAGTCTACAACACAGTCCTTTCAACAGTTCCAAGAAGGCTCCACATCCATTTGAACTACTCAGGTGACCCTGAATGTCTATGGGGATTCTCAGTCATCCAGGTCATGATTGTCCCAAAGGTGCTTTTTCAAGAGGCACCTGGACTTTTTGTTTTTTTTTTCTTTGAAGACGTTTCACTTCTCATCCAAGAAACTGAAGAAACTTCTTGGATGAGAAGCAAAATGTCTTCGAAGAAAAAAATATATCAGAAAGTCCAGTTGCCTCTTGAAAAAGCACTTTGGGGTCAGGTGACCCTGATAATACAAATAAACCTCCAGGTGGCCTCAACGACTCGCTAAAAGAATGCAAATGACCAGCTGTCTGGAAGGAATATAAATCCTTCCATTCCCCACCATCCAGTCAGAGCTGAAGAAGCTTCTTGGATGAGAAGTGAAATATCTTAAAAAAACCCCAGAAAGTCCAGTTGCCTCTTGAAAAAGCACCTTTGGGACAATAGTGGGTTTCAAATCCTGTCGCTACCGGTTTGCTCATGGGCGCACTTGTGTGCTCACACAACGCTTCTGCGCATGTCCAGAAACGTCCGGGTGGGTGGGCAAACCGGTAGCAATCTGGGGCAAACCGGTAGCAACCCACCACTGCTTTGGGACAACCGTGACATGGATGACTGAGAATCCCCATAGACATCAAGTTATCTGGGAGAATAAAAATTCCTTCAGAAAACTGAAGCATTGCCCAAATGAAGAGCATGAAATGGAACACAGAAATGCAAATAGGTATAAAAGCAGCATTTTGGTGGAGGATATTGCATATTGCTAATAAGTCTAAGACCAAGAGTGAAACATCTTTAAGTACACGAGAAGCAGAAAATTATAGAAATATGTCGGATGAACAAGGAAGTTAAAGGAATCCAATCATTTACTTTGAAATTTATTACCTATCTTCATTTTTGTTTGGTCACCAACAGGCAAAGTTGTTAATGTAGTTAAGATGGTGCTGGGGAGCATAGTATAATAAGAACAAAGTGGTGGTGAAGGTACAAAGAATAAAAGCTTTCTTTTCTGGAGGGGAGCCACTCTGCTGCTCAGCCATTTCCAAGAATGGAGCCTGTTATGCAGAACTAGTAGATAAATCACCCCCTCTTATTCAGCTTAATTCGCAGGGGATTCTGTATGGTATATACACTATATACACAGGTGATAAAATGTGTTTCCACAGTAGTTCTAAAATCCACTGTGTATGAGAACTTCTGAGTCTTTACTTTTCTATAGTTCTACCAAGTTACTTTTGTGACATATCTCATTTTCACACACAGTCTTACCAAGTATGAGAAATGAGGTTTCTGCGAAATGCCAGGTGTGACTAATGATTTCTCTTCTCTTTTTCCATCTTTCTGATAACTGCCTCTCAGGCACCTGAAGGAGAAAGGACTCTTCAACATCATATGCTTGGCTACCTGCCATTCAGAAGTTCTGCAGGGTAGACTTCATGATGTTTCCTTGGCAGCTACAAAGGAGGTGGGAAACGGATATTTAACATATGTCCAATCAATCTTCTCTGGTGGATTACCTGATGCTTTCCAATCTGTTTCTATTCAGTCAGTATATCTCCAAGCAGCTTTTATACTTTTGTGCACCTGTGTGTCTGCCCAATGTGCTATTTATGCTTATTTATACTAGAAAAAAGTTAATAAACTTTTTATTATCTTCAGGGTGGGAATAAAATTACAGGGAAACAAGGTATACAAATGTGTTCATATCTGTATTTGTATAAAATTGTTTTGAAAAACATGCTTTAAGATAATGCATAATTTATTATGATGAGGAGAAGGATAGGGGAGCAAAAGATGGAGAGAATGGAGCAGAATGAAGTGTGAAAGTCCATAGTTTCCAGCAGAAGATACCAGGGCCCCACCTTTACCATTGCAAAGTGACAGGGGCTAGATTGGAACTCAGAGGTACAGTTCACGGTGCCCATACCTGTGCTTTACAAATAAGACTTCCCACTCATGGTTAGCTTTTTGGAAGCTGCTAAAAACCAGATAGTGTCAAAAGGCTTATAGGGGCCTGAGATAACACCTGAGAACAATATGTTGATTGAAGGTTGTGACAGTTTTGATTTTAATAAGGTGACCAATCGTCCTCCTTTAGGGAGGACAGTCCTTCTTTTGTAAATTCTGTCCTCTCTTGAAAAGTGTCCTCCTACATGTCCTCCTTTTCGATATTTGAAGACTAATCTGTAAATCTCCGTATTTGATCGATGCCGATCCGATCCGTTGCGTGTGATGTGACGTATTTGTATTTGACATGACAATTCGTCAAGGCTCGGTACAGTGCAGCGAGATGTGATTATGAGACGCATGCACTCCGCACAGGAGAATTGTTTTGAGATGGTGTACCGCACGCAAGTGAGTGCTGCGCGCAAGTGGCTTTGTTTACTTCTTACCGAAACACAACACGGCACACATGCACATGTCCTCCTTCTCATTGTAAAAAAAGATGGTCACCTTAATTTTAATGTACTTTTTATTTTCTTCGTAAAATTCTTGTAAACTTCCCAGAATACAATTGTTTTCAGGAGGACAAAAATGGCTGACTGGCTGGCCTCTCCTCACCTCACCTCACCTTCCTATAGTCAAGGGAGTCCTTCAGATAGCCAGGGTACATTCAATTGTGTTGTTTTACTGGCTGGTTGATTCAGGGGAGGTGCCTGTGAATAAAATGAGAGACGCCTGTCTTTAGAAAGGTCTCTATTGTCACCAATCATTTTGCGTTTTGAGATGTAAAATCGGTTCTTGCATCTGTGAACATATGCTGTATACAGTATTCAATTGTGCTTTAGACAGTAGTAGAAAAGGACTATCATTGTATTCTGCAGACTGAGATATGCTTGTTTGGGTAGCTTACTCGTGACAAATTTCCCAGACCTTAGACAGCAAAGTATAAGCTTAAGAAACATGCCTTACTGTGGAAACATATATCTTTCGTCAAGTCTAATGGAAACAGGTTTAGAAATGCAGTGACAGGTATTTTTCTGCATAGAGAGTATATGTTCTCCACTGAGTTATGACTTCTTCTGTGTAAGATATATGACAAAGACACTGTGACAGTTTTGTATAAGAAATACATTCTGTATGTAAAATAAAACTGGCAAGTTAGGTCAGAAAAGAGAATGAAATTGAACATTTTAGTTTTAGTATTTAGGAATAACTAAGAGTCAGTTTGGTGCAGTGGTTAAGATACTGGGCTAGAAACTAGGTGACTGTGAGTTATAGTCCTGTTTAAGTATGGAGGCAGCTGGAGGACCTTGAGCCTGCTTGAGGCTTGGGGCTGTCTATCAGCTTTAGGAAGGATGCAAAGGCAAACCCCTTCTGAAAATGTTGCCAAGATAAGTGCAGGGACTTGTCCAAGCAGTTGCCAGGAGTCAACATTGGCATGAAGATACCAAAATAAATAATAAATAAAATGCAAGAATCTGGATGTCTGGCTCATTCATGTTGATTATGAAGAATATAAAACGATACTCAGGAAAAGGGGAAGTCTTCTGCTTACGTGTATTTGAAATTGAATGAGGAGCAAATTTTATATTTACTTGTATCTATACACCACCAAATGTGTCAAATCATAAATTCTTATGTAGTAAATAAACCTATTCTTACATATACTATATATATATGTCATGTTGTATAGTTAAATTCTGCATGTGTTCTGGAAACTAACCTATTGCATATCAAAACTAAAGTTTAATCAAAAGTAATGGAAAATTCTCAAGTTGTCTTGTCAAATGCCTTGCTATTGAAAGTTATCCATGGTTATCATCAAACCATCCCTTCATCTACATGGCTTGTGCAGAATGCTGAAGGATAATGGAATTTATTTGGGTTTTTTTGCTTGGAATCATAGTATGCTACAGTGATATGAAAATGATATGTCTTGGGCCATCATGATGTAAAGCCTGGTTTTTCATATTTACATTCCAGACATTGCCAGAATTTTTTAAATAATATAATTTGCAAAGCAATGTTGTGATGCAAATTATCTTATTTGCCCCTCTCCTTTCATTCTGGTAGAAGCTCATGCTTAGAGTGATATATGAACTCATTTATTATGGCTTAGTATTAAGACACTAATGAATTTGATTAAACAATGCCATCTCTCAGGACCTAGGAAGATGCCTTTTCTGTCTCAGCAGCTGCTATTTGAATAGCATTTCCCCAAGATCCATATGGCTCCCACCCTAATGGTATTCAGAAAGTCATTAAAAACTTGAGTTTCCTCTTAGATCTTACTATAGGATAGTGGTTGTTTCTTTGTTGTTGCCACCCAGAGTAATTTAGAATTGGGCAATCTCTAAGCTAAATGAGTGAGTGAGTGAGTGAGTGAATGAATGAACTTTTTGTATACAGTCATAGAGTTCCAGGCTTTCTGAAGGACAGACTACTGTTCCTTAACTATAAACGTCTTGATTCTCTCTATTCTACCAATGGAATTTCACTGATTCTTAACATTTTACCAAGGAAAAGAGAAATAATATCAAAATTGCATGACCAAACCAGTACTTGCATTTTCCATTTTCCCAGACCTAAATACTGTTTGGCCTTATAAAACTCATATTGGATGTTGGGAGTTAGCTAGTTCTTGCGTTCTGGGAGTTAATTTCCTGGACCTGCTTACAGTGGACTTTCTGTTTACTGTATTTGACCGCTTAACGGAGAGATTTTATTGCTCTCATTTTAAACCCTTCTAATAAAAAGCAAGAGCTAAGCAAAGTCACAAGCCAACTCCACACTTGTTCATTGTTTGAACAGCTGATAGGCTGCTATCAGCAGACTTTTCAAAGGCCATCATGCTTCCTCTTTAGGCAAATATTAGGAAACCATTGGCATAATTTTGGTCTCCCATTTTTCTCTAAAATTATAATAAACTCAGACTCTGTTCTGGAGTTTAAAAAGTGTTAGTCAAGATAAAGGCAAAGCAAAATTTGGTTGTCACATGGAATATAGCAATAAAGGTTTTCTATTTCTTCTATCAAGAAATACTGTAGACCTGGGAGCTTATAATAGCTTTTTGGGCAAGTACATATAATCCCTTGGTACAAGTTCTCATGGAACTTGGAAAATATATTGTAAAAATTTGTACAATAAATTTCTGTATGTAGAAGTAATATTCAGAAGTCAGAGAAAAATAAGAGCCAGTTTGCTGTAGTGGTTTTAGTGCTGGCTAGAAATTAGGAGATTGTGAGTTCTAGTCCTGTCTTACACATGAAACCCAGCTAAGTGACCTTGGCTTAGTTACTCTTTCTCAGCCCAATTCAGCTCACAGAGTTGCTGTTATGGGGAAAATAGGAGGAAAAAGGTACTATATATATATTTTTGCTGCCTTGAGTTACTTATAAAGTAATAAAGTTGGGATAAAAATCTAATAAGTAAATAAAATAAGAGATACTAGTTTTAGACATCTAATCCCTTAGACATCTAAGGGATTTTGCACTTTGCTGAATTTTGGAGACTTTATTTGGATAAGAAAATGGCTCTGTATTGATTCTCTGGCTGTTGTTCTTTACAATTTGCAAAATTATATAAGATCATATGACTTTCTTTTATCAGGTTAGCAACTTACGATCTAAAGTATCTAGGTTTGCTATTGGGACACTCGCTGAATTGTTCAAAGCTATGAAGAAGCACATGGATCAAGAGGTTGAGGAGATTTCTCGAGTCCTGCTTCAAAAGGCAGGTGATACTAGTGAATTCATCCAGAAAGCAGCTGACCAATCCTTGGGGATCATGGCACAGAGTGTGACTCCTTCGCGAGCAATGACAGCCCTCATGGCCAATGGAGTGACGTATGTACATTACCTTTTCATCTGCAATCTCAATCCTTGCTGGTCTATGGGCATGAGCAGTAAGTGCTAGCATTTACAAAAAAGAAAATTGTTGTAGGAGAGAATTCCATACCTCTGAATTTGGGGAAATGTGTAACCCTTCAGAGGTAGCTGATGACAGCTCCTAGCACTCCTCACTATTGAACATAAAGGAGGCAGGCACGAAGTGTTTTAGTTTAGCAGCACTTAGGGTGCAAAATTTTCCTTATCCCTGCCAGAGGATGGCTGAATTTTTCTGTATGAGCCTACAAGTGGAAACCAGAAATTTGGCTTAGTATTGCAGCTCTTTGGACCTGAAACTGTTCGTCCATGAAATAGAGTGGCAGAGAGAAACAGAAAGAACACTAAGCAACACTGTAAATTAAGCTGGAAATTGTGTTTGCCCATCATGGTAGATTGTGACTCCTTTCTTTTGCACAGGAGTGTGTTTTCCCATTCATACTCTAAGAGAAGCATACACTGTAGGATAAATGAAGGTGAGCTAGAAGAATTGTTGCTATCAGCCTACACCTTGGCAGGTTTCTACTTTGGCATGGAGACAAAACGTACCCTGTGTCTGACAACGCTGATCATTTTGTTGCAGCCACCGAAACCCTCTCATTCGAAAATGTGCTGCTGGACACTTACTGACAGTCATGGAACAAATTGGGGCTGAGAAACTGCTCTCGGGCAATCGGGAAAGTACGGAGTTGTTAGTGCAGACATTAGTGAAGATGGCTCAGGACTGCCATCAAGACACAAGGTAACAGCAGGAAATGCCATTTCCTCAATGAAGATGGAATTTTATTCTCTGGTGACCTTAAAAAGATTTCCCTTTCCTCCATTAGATGTTATGGCCGGAAGATGCTGAACATGCTTATGTGTCATTCAAAATTTGATGGGTATTTGAAACAAAATGTACCATCACATGACCTGCGGGATGTCATGGCTGCAATTAAACAAAAAGTAAGTATGGAAGCCCAGGGACAATCTTGGAAATGCATAAATTAACAGAATATCTGATTCTGTACATGGGCATTGACTGCACAATTGAGTATTTTTCAGAAATGACGTAAAGCACTAATATACCAGTTGCATTCACTTATAGCAGTAAAACCATCATTTTCTTAACTCTGCTTTATTAAATACACCCCAATTAGCAGAGTTCACACAGCTTAATACATTCACCATGGTTTCCAAGCCACAATGGCTCGTTTTGCATTACATTCTTAGTCCAAATCAGCCAAATGATTTAACATGAAAATGTGGAGGCGTGTGTAATTGACCAGAATGTTAAAATAACTGTGGGACTTTATCTGTATAGGGGACAGAAGATTCAGCCTCCCAAGCTTCTTCTGCCAAAAGTTACAGAGGATCAAAGACTGGCAGTTTGACAATCTCACTGGACAGCCTATCTTCAGGCGAAGGGTATGGTGGGAAGCATCATTGTTTCTGTGATTAGCTGGATTTTGGAAAGACACAGAGCATGTCACTGGGAGACATGCTGTATTTTATTTATTTATTTTTTTTAAAAAAGCTCAGGTGCCCGTTACATTCTACATGCATGTTGAGAGGCTACAAAGGAAAAGCTTGTTCCCTTTCTGGAGCCTTTCTTTTGTGGTTGCTTTAAGCATAATTCATTTGCTTGAGATGCTTGATGTTTTCCTCATAATGTCAAAGTTCTGAGTAATGAGCCCAACCAATTCAGCAACTCTTGAGACTTTTAGCTTTCTCAAAGAACTCCTTTATTGAGTACATCATTTCATCACAGTTGAAAAAACAAACCAGCTCTGGCTATTTCCTGCACTTTCAGTATAATGAAAGATTAGACAGTTCCCTCCCTCCTTGTCACAGGTCACATTGTCCAGTTAGATGTTCTGGCATCTCCTTGGTAACCTCTTCCAGTCTCTGGCCAGCACCTGTTAGGATGACCTTGGTTCCCACAAGATAGTAAGTTCTTGATGTCTGGTCTGACATTCCAGAGCTCCCCCCCCACAAGTGTGTCAAGATGAGAAACAGAGAAAATGGCTGCGACAAGCCCGATCTGTTTTGAAGTTGACACATAGTTTATGCCACTGCTGAAAACCCTTAATTTAGGAGAGAAGACTTACTTGTGAAAACTTTTGTCTGTCCTCTAGAACAGGAGTCTTCAAATGTGGCAACTTTAAGACTTAAGCATGGCTGGCCAAGGAATTCTGGGAGTTGAAGTCCACAACTTTAAAGCTTCCATGTCTGGAGACCCCTGCCCTAGAACAGAGTTTCTGCATCCAGGCAGCACACTTTCAAGTAGCTCTTAGATGTCAGTGAAGCATTATTTGGCGGTGTCTCTTTGTTGCCTTATGATAAGCACCCTTACTGTATATAGAGAGCTAATCCTCTTCTCTCTTCTTTAGAATGCGTATACTGTAAATTTTCTTCTAAGTCTGCCATCTCAGAGAAGCAACTTTCCAGCTGAATTTACTATTTGTCTTCCCACTCTAGCTGCAGAGAGAGCTTGATGGCTTAGGGAGAATGTTTTGGAAATACACACTGCCTGCTTGCCCTTTGCTGCATAGCTCCACACCTGGTGGAAGCCATCTCTCTTGGCACTGAGTGAGCGACATCCTTTGGATGGCATTGCCTGGAGCATGAAATTACACATTTTAGTAATTAGCAGAACTATCAGCAATAACAGAGCAGCAAGGAATAAAGAAAAACAGGATATGTTTTACAGAAAGAGAGAAGGAAACTGCTAATTCACAACTGAGGAAGAATTTAAGATTTTTTTTTAAAGATTCTGTGTTTTTAATCATTTGAAATCATTTGCAAAACCAATGGTAGAGTCTTAATTCTCCAGACTTACTGTTCAAATTTACAAATTGTTCTTTTTGTCTGTGGACTCCTGCTCTTCTTACCCCCCCCCCTTTCCTTTGTATAGTTCATACTCCTATTGTTGTTGTAGGCTGCATATGAGTTCTTTAGCCTCTTCCGGAAGACTAAAAGGATACTTCATCAAAGAAGTATGAGCAAAGGGACATATAATGGACAAAGAAGAGGCAGTCCTGTGAGGGGAAGTAGAACCCATTCAGTCATAATAACTTCTGTCTCTAGCTTTTATATCCATTAAGTTTATCTGAAGACTCGGACTGAGCATCTACAACTCTTGATACTTCTTCTCCTTCTTTTTTTTTTTTTAATGCTATTTTGGTCTCTAACAAAAAGAATAGCATGCCTGATCTTATATTAAGTCAAGGGGACAACCAGATATGTTTGAAGGAGATTTATTTTTGCTCTTGATTGGGCACTATGTGATGAAGATTGGGCTGTTGCAGCACGTTTCCCTCTGTAAGGCATAAATCAGATTAGATCCTCTTAAATCCAGTGTGCACATTAAAAATCACACAAAATCTGTGCCAAAGGCGCTATTCTATCAGCTTTGGTTGATAAACCAGTTGTGTCCCTATCTGGGGAAGAAAGATGTGCATCGGTTACATAATGATCTCATTTGATTTAGGGTAATTCATTTTTGTGGGGCATTTTGGAAATTGCATTTAGCCGTGAATATGGTGGGGAGGTTGAAGCTTCTCAAAAATCATCCCTATATTGAAGTACCTACCCTTAGTGTCAGTTTATTTCCAAGACTAATTACAATTCTTAATTTGCTGTAGAAAATCTCACACAGTTTAAATTCATAAAACCTATAGCACTGCCTGCTTCTCTATTATCTGCCCCACACCTTCAGGACTTTTGCAGAGATCTGTCAAATATCAACAATTGTCTGGGAGAGGAGGCTTTTAACAAGACACCATTGGCCTATTTAGAGTGTTCAAAGGTTTTTTTTTTAATGCTACTAATTGTACTGCACTGTTTTTAATTGCATGTGTTTTTGTAATATCATATAATTAGTTAGCTTGATCTCTTATATGCTATTCAGAATCAATGAGGAATGGGTGGCCATGCACTTGTAAACTCAAGGAAATAAATTAAAAGAATCCCATCTCCAGCTTTGTCTAATTTACTGTACTATTCTGAAGTTGATTCAGAGTTGTGCATATTGCATCTGGAATGAGTCATGAAGGTTAAGTGAACATTGTTTAACTTGCACGATATATTTGGCATACTGCAAATTGTGCTTCCTTTCAGGGCTTGATAAAATTATTTACTGTATTATAATATGGTTGGCAAATATGGTGAAAAGCTTTTCACTTTTCAACTCCAGGTCTACCTCAGATGTTCTTAATTTTTCGCAACCTGCAGCTCGTTGCTCTTCACTTCGCAGCATAGAAGTAATGGAACAGCTGAAGGAGCTGAACAAACTGCTTGTGGCCAAGGAATTTCAGATACGAATAGATGGAATAGCCTTACTAATGGACCATTGCAAGAAGAACCCACACTTTGTCTCTTCAAATATTGTGCAGGTATCCATTATGAATACCAGTATCCTTAATTAAAACATAAATATTTATTAAAGTTGCAAGGGCAGTACCATCCTAGCAAACAGCCAGATGAATTAATTGTACTCTTTTTAAAAAAAAAACATTTCTCCAATTTACTATTTTTTATGAAGAATTATTTATAATAGTTGGGGCACATGGATTCTCCTTGTTGGAGATCCACTTCTGCTTTATCTTGTTAATTGTTAAAACATCAGGAGTAGAAACAGTTCTGCTTTCATCTCATTGAGAGAGAGATACTATTAGCCCCTCAATTTAAAACTGCTTCCCATAGGAACATTAGCATATTTCCTTTACCTCTTGTTTCCCACCTTGAAGGTATACAACTTAGAAAGGGAGCTTTCTTTCATACCATATAACAGGGGTGTCAAACTTGCGTCATCACGGCGGCGTCACATGACGTATTGCGATTCTTTTCCCCTTCACTAAACTGGGCATGGGAGTTTGACACCCCGGGTTGCGAATTTGACACCCCTGCCATTCCTTAATGAACATGTTATTCTATTATACCTTAAAGATTAACAATTTTACTTTTACAGCTGTAAAATCTTATGCTAAATATGCCTTGGTGAATGAACTGGAAGATGGTTTGATTTGTTGCAAATGACCTCTATTAACACTTGATAAATGAGGGTGAATACAAGAGATATTTGACTGGCACAATATATTAAAGCAAAATTTTCATGTACTGGCTCATAACTTGTTGGAAAAATTCCCACATTTCTATGTATGATATTTATGGTAGAATTTATTTGCTTATTTTCTTAATGTAACAGATTTTTGATACTTTTGCCCTGAGGCTTCAGGATTCCAACAAGAAGGTGAACCAGTATGCATTAGAATCAGTTGTCTCCATGATTCCAGTGCTTAAAAATGGCTTTAATCCAGTCCTGTTCTCTGTGGTGACGATAGTGATGGACAACTTAAACTCAAAGAATTCTGGGATTTACAGTGCGGCAGTAAAGATTCTGGACACAATGATTACTTACTTAGGTAATGGTTATCTACTTGCAAGATATATGTATTTCTGTGTTTGCTGTTATATCATATCTTCCCCCCCTCCCCCACCAGAGAAAAAGAATTATAGAATTTTAAAGAAGGTAGACTGTGAATGTGCTAACTTAATGCATACTTTTGAGGACATATTTTATTTGAGTTACAAATTATATCCAAAGTTTCCCCAATTGTAGATCTCAGTATATGTGCATTTACTTTCACATATAAGTTTAGAATATGTGATTTAGAGCAAATCTCCCCTCACAGTTCTAGTTAGCAGTGGTAGAATAGCTTGATTATTGTGTGTGTGTGTGTGTGTGTGTGTGTGTATGTGTTTGTGAGTGTGTGTGTCTTCAAATCAGTGTTGACTCCTGATGACTGCCTGGACAAGTCCCTGCAGTTTTTTTTGGCAATGTTCTTTAGAGGTAATTTGCCATTGCCTAGGGTTGAAAGAGAATAACTGGCCCAAGGACACCCAGCTGGCTGAAGGCAGGACTAGAACTCAAGAGTCTTCCACTACCTTTTTGCCCATGCTCCAAGGTGGCGGTTTGTGGGTGAGGCTCCAATGTCTTGGGGCAATGTAGGAGCTATCTTGGATTCCTGGCGGATTGATTTGGAGCTGCCCAGTTGGTGACCCCTCTGAAGACCTGGGATTTAAGGCGGGATTAGAAGATCTTGTGGAGACTAGAGGGTTTGGGAAGAGCTGGGCTCTGGAAGAGCTGGCATGGATTGGCCTATCGCCCTGGTCTGTCTCCACCACCCCCCTCTTCCCACCGCAGCCCGGTTGTGGGCGTTGGCTGGGATCACTATCATCCTGACTGGACCCTTCCTGCACTTGGACTCATTAACCATTAAAATGACTATAGTTGACCCCCGGTTCCAGCTATACCATTAGTACTATCGACATCTGTAATGCCTTGCTGTGAGGAGAGGTTTAAGCCTGGGCACAGGCATCAAGGGAGTCATTTCTGTTGCAGCTGTCACCGAATAAGATCTGCTGTTACCAGCCACTGTGAGAGGGTGGCTTGGTCACTGCTTTCCCGGGGCAGCGGCCTGAGACCCCTCTCCACTGTTGTGAGAGGACAGTGGAGCCCGGTTGACCCGCGCCGGAATGGTGAACTTTCTCTCCTGGACCTTTTTCTAACCATCACCATTGAATCCTTGGACTCGTTCATCTTCCCCAGACAGACTTTAGGATTTATTCACTGGCTGAGCTCTTCGTGCTGCGAGACTCCCCCCTCTCGCAGGCCTGGCCCTCCATTTTATCGAGGGCCTATCTTGATGATGGGTTTTGGAACCCCGAGAGATGGCATGTAGCGAAGAGGGGGTTGAGGGGTTTTTTATCTAAAATTTTAATGAAAATTTTAAGGGGACCTGGGAGGAAGGGAGGGGGTTGTAAAGGTGGACCTGGGGGGGGGGGTCCAGATAGCCACTGGGTCGTGTTGGGTCGATTGGCTGCAGCAGAGGGGTCGTGGAAGGAAATTTAACCAGGGAGCAGGGGGGCGACAGGAAGGGCAGTGTAATTGAAATTATGAGTGGGAGGGGCAGGTATGACAGGCGCAGGGGGCCATATCATGTGTCGGGGGTGTGCACACGGCCTTCTCTGTGGGAGCCCCAGCCCTGTAGAATGAACTGCGCCCGGAAATGCATAAGATCTCTGACCTCAGGGTATTTTGCTATGCCCTTAAGACCCTGCTGTTCCGCCAGGCCGGGCTATCAATGTAATGATTTTAAATTGGATGTTTTTAATTTTTGGGGGTTTTAATATTGAGCTAAAATTATTTAATAATTTTAAATTATTTAAATTGTTGTTTGTCTTTGTGCTTTTAATAGGCTATATACTGTCCTGAGACCTTCGGGAGAAGGGCGGTATAGAAATAAAATTATTATTATTATTATTATTATTATTATTATTATTATTATTATTATTATATTATTATTATTATTATTTATTGGTTAATCTTTAGTGAGATTCACAGCCTTTGAGGCTGGTTAATAGCTCAGCAGCTCGAGTCCTAACCAAGGACCTAGGAACTGTTAAGGTATTGTCGGAGGATGTAAGCTGTTCCGAGTAAGGTGGTTTTTTGTAGAGGCAAAATGTTCAAGTCCGGCAAATTTAGAATTTCTAAATAGCGGGGTAGCCCTTTGGGTATTGCTCCAAGGGCTCCAATTACAATCAGGACAACACACAATTTCTTTTTCCACAGTCGCTCAACTTCAATTTGTAAGTCCCGGTACTTTGTGATTTTTTCATCATCATCATCATCATCATCATCATCATCATCATCATCATCATTATTATTATTATTATTATTATTATTATTATTACCTAGGAACCTTTACTAGATATAAAATAAACTCATCTCGGGTTCTATAAAAACTGCCATCTATTACTTCCTCTAAATGAAAATGAAATTGTACATATATGGGATGGAGGGACGCAGTATTGGATTTGAAATAACAAAGGCCTTTGCAGTCAATTATTGCAGATTGGTGGAAAATTATGTCCCATTAAAAGTTGATTCTGCAGTAAAAATACATCCTACCCCAATGATCTGGGTGTTAGAGTTATGGAACTATCCCTATATTGTTCTTTGTAGGGCAATCTGGAATCTCAAATTTGCTTGAGAGGCCAGATCTGTATATGCCTTAGAACTAGGCAGTAGAATCATGAGAAGCTAATAATATAATTTTAGATTGCAAAAGTGGACCTGCACTTTGATGCTCCACCATGTAAAATTCAGTGCTGGTAGAAGACTAAACCATTTCTTTTTTATGATTATTTTTTAACTGAAGAGAATTAACAAAAAGTTCCTACATGCAATTTGATGTACCATAATTTCTACTCGATTCTTCCACTCCATTTCTCAGTTGGCAGCATGAATATAGATATAGATTAAACATGGGCATGCTATGGATCCTCTCCATTAAACAATGCCATCTACAGGTACTCCTCGATTTATGACTGGTTGCTTACTGACATTCTAGCTCCGTGATGGCGAACCTATGGCATGGAGCCATATTGGTGGACACACCAGTGTTGCCCTAGCTCAGCTCTAGCACGCATGCGTGCGTGCGCCAGCCAGCTGATTTTTGGGCCTTTTGGGCCCACTGGAAATCGGCAAACAGGCTGTTTCTGGCCTCCAGAGGGCCTCTGGGAGGGTGTGGGGAAGGCTTTTCCCCCTTCCCCAGGCTCCTAGAAAGCCCCTGGAGCCTGGGGAGGGCAAAAAAACAGGCCTACTGGGCCCACCAGGCCATCACATGTCAAGGGGGAGCACGGGGGGGTCTGTGCGCATGTGTGGAGGGCAGGGCACATAGAATTATGGGTGTGGACATGGGCGCATGCACGACCACCCTGCATTCCCCCATTTTTTGGCATGCAATGGCAAAAAGGTTAGCCACCACTGTTCTAGCTTATGGCAAACCCTTTAAAAGGTACTTGTGTCCTGGATTCAAAGTGGTGATGGCTGTCTCTGCCCTAGTCATGTGATTGCATTGTGGGCCCTTGGCAACTACCCCCATATTTATGGCTGTAAACAGCATTCCGTGGCCATGTGATTGTGAATATGATTTTTTTTGCCGGAAACTGGGACATACTTCTGGTTTCCAGCAAAAAATATCTATGGCAAACAATGGGCTCATTTAAGGACCACGGTATTTGCCTACTGACTGTGGCATTCACTTAATGACTGCCATGTTTGCTTTATGACCAGCACAAAAAAAGGTAAAATTGGATATGGTCACATGATGACAAGCTTAATGACTGGCACAATTTACTAGGATAATTGCAGGGTCAATTCTGGCTATAAATTGAGAATTACCTGTAATGGGACGTATCTCTCTTATATTGGCTAACCCAGGGGTCCCCAACCCCTGGTTTGTGAACCAACAGTAGGCCATGGCATGTCAGAAACCAGGTCATGCAAACAAGTGGAGCCCCATCCATTGGATGCAGGCAACCACACTCCCTTCAGTCCATGGAAAAACTTCTCACCATGGAACAGGTTCCTGGTGCCCAAAATGTTGGGGGCCACTGGCCAACCAATGGGCCAGTGGCCCCTAGAATTTCCCCTAGAATTTCAATGGCCTTGATGACCTTCTGAAAGATGTTAAAGACTTGACTCTTCCAATAAGCATTGGACATGGGTGTTAGCTAGACCCATTTAATTCAATGACTGGTTTTTTGGTTGGATTTTTATCCTTGTGCATAGTGCTTGCTTTTTGTTTTTAATTATTAATGTGGTTGTATGATTGATAGTTATCTACCCATAGTCACATCTTGACTAGGCAGCCTTATAAATTGTCATATTTTTTTTAAAAAATAAGTTTGGTAAATTTGAATCCTGGTTTGCTTTTTCATTGCTTACTGTATGATGTTAAGATGGGGATGCGGGTGGGGGTGTTTGGTTAGTGTATGGCTCCATGTATTGTGTAAATCTACAAATTTCAGGGACAAGGTTATGTGTGTTGTGTGAATATAGTCCATGAGTTATTTTGCTCTTGATTTGAGGACAATCTCCCAAATAAGCTTCTTCTGTGCTGGCTTTATAGAAGCCCTAACTTATGAGCTTCATCCAGCTCATTCTCCTATCTCTAATCCATAAATATCTCCAATGCGTACTCTTCTTCTTCAAAGGAAATTTATAGTTTACCGAGCTCATTTCTGAAGAACAAACAAACATAAATCCATGTCTAAATGACGGCTTCTTTCAAACATTGTTCTCCAAAGACAGAAATTGCAATTGCCAATAACTACAAAACCAAGGACTGTTGTAAATTTCATACGACATAGATTTATATCGATATGAAAATACTGTACTGGGTGAATAGGCCAGACGTATTATAGGATTTTATGAATCACGACTGAAGTTAGTACTAACATACAGATGTCCTAGTAGATTTACTTATATCCAAACCATGTCATATTTCTGCCTATATTGAAGAACACAAGCACTGAATTTAGAATCAGACATTAATTTTACTGTGTTGTAATTCTGAGACATAGCTGATGTGTGTCATTGTAGAACTACAGCTCCCAGCTTCTATAGGAAACATAGTCAATGCTGAGAGAAGTTATTAGTTGTATTTAGCAACATGTGCACGAGTTGCCTATACTTGGCTAGAGACTTGAGTATGCACAGAGAGTATTCTCCTTTTATCCAAATCCTTTGCTTCTTTTACACTGGATCCCAGTGGACTGCTTCTGACAAAAATAACCTTGATACTAGAATTAAAAATACTTCTATGGATCAGGATAATGGACAGTCTGGAAATTATCATTCTTTGTGTAAATTTTGAGTTTGGAATAACATTATTTTCCTTCCTTGACTGGACTGGGAACCATTTACCTTATCTATGGATGCTTTAGGAGCTTCCACCACAAGAGGACAGTATGTGTATACATTTCTTTGACTTCCAGGGAATGTATGATTGTCATTTATAAGTATGGGGCTCATATGATCTTGGAAATCACAGGTTCTAGATGTTACTGGACAGAAATGTTTGGATTTGAAAAATATAATGAGCTCTTAATTTTTTTAGTTTTTGAAATTTAATAAAACTCTTAAAAAAGAACTGGCTTCATAAATGTGGTTACTGATTGTAATATCATGATATGGATATTTCCTAAGATACCTTTTCCTTCCTGGTTTTGATTTTCATTACTTTTTATATTCATTTTCTTTCTTGGTACTATTTTCCGTGCAGTAACATATAAAGCATACCGAAACCTTCCTTACACTGATTTTATGAAAAGTCTATTCGAATCAGAATATCAGATGGAGATAGAGAAACTCTCCCATTTCTGTCAGAGCAGCAAGAAAAATTGCTTAATATAATAATCAACATCAATTCTTTTTGAAGATATACAATTTGCTTTACATTTGCAGAATGGTCCTGTTTGCATGGATGCAAGAACAACACTTATTGAAAATGATGTGTCCTCTGACTGTATTTCAGGATCTGAGTTTTTTCATCTGGTACCTGATTCTTCACTTTGTGAAGGCTGGCTGCAGATGATTAAAAAAAAACATTGCTGTCAAACATCACATCTCCCCATTTCTTGACCTTCTGGAAAAGCAGCTCTAAATTAATCTCCTACCAATAGCTTATTGGGGCTTTCATGATTTTCAGATTTTTGAAATGTACAGCACATTTTTCTGGAAGACAAAAAAATGGAGAAATGTACCGTGCTTTATTTTAGAATGAGTTTTGAAAGTTGGTTTTACAAGTGAACTAAAAACTTTAAAGATATTAATAAGAGGGCAATGATCATCAATAATTAACACCCACTCTCCACATTCGATATTAGCATTTCAAAGCAAGTGTTCTTCTTGCTGCAGCAAATGGTTATACTTTCCATTAATCGCTAAAAGGACAAGAGTTGCCTTCCTCAGCACACACATCATTCCTCTTCCATCTATCACAATGGATGGCATTGATCAGAATATGAATTTTTTTGCTCCTTGCTGTTTTCTTCTCTTTGATTCTTCTTGGCTGCATAACCTGAGAAGGAACAAGTTAGGAAAATATTCTTTTTTAAAAAATAACCAGCCAACAAATCAACATTTGTCACATTTAATTAATCTGTATTTATTTGCTGTACCATTTTCCTCCATTATGATAGTTTGGAATAGATTCCATTTAAAATCAAGTAGGCATGCTACCTATTCACTAAAGGCTGAAACCTGAACCATTGTTAAATGCCTGATCCTGGATTGTCAAAAGCCACCTAACATACACATGTTTTATAATCCCTCCCCCCAAATGACTTAATGGTATTGGTTGTTAACTGAAGCAGGAATTCCATAGTCCTAAATCAATCCACCACTTCATATTTCTTTATAAATTGGCATGGAAGAACCAGAGATCATATATCCTTTGCATCAAACACTTGCATAATTGCTGAAAGAACTTTAACAAAAAGGCAATACTCCATCTTGAAGAGTTGTAGATGCTGGCTTGAGTACATTAGTACATTGTTCAATAAAATATAGTTTGTTCAGTAAAGGCATACTGAACAAACAATGTTTCTTTACTACGCTTTTTATATATCATTATTTAAAATAGCTTGCATTTTTAATAGTGCGAAATGGATTATTGCAAGGAGTGTTGATTACATCTGGATGCATTGGGAAAGAATGTCTGGCCAAGCAGGATCCATTGATGCCTCATTTGATTATTTGCAAGCAAAAGCAAATCATATGAACGTCAATGCTATGATGCTAACTGTTTTGTTATTTCTGTTTGTTGATTTCACAGAAGCAGTGAGACAGAATGTTCATGCATTAGTCATATTGTTTCAAGCTCAATACTTCCCCAAGCCTTCAATTCAATTGAATTAGTTACTGGGGATTCTGGTTATTGTGTTCCTAACACATTGGAAGAGTGCAAATTGGGGAAGATTGGCATGTTTTTGAAGGATAGTAGCTTGTAGGAACAAAATCTAAATTTGCAAAAACATCTTATTCTCAATTCAAATACAGCATGACATGACATTGTTCATTGTTTATTATGTGGTAATTTATGTAACGTCCCACAACCATTTTGATTGGTCCACAGTAGTTTGCATCCAAACAATATGTTTGTCCCTTTCAGACAACCTGTTGCTGCTTCAAATATTTGCCAGCAGGGTGCGTTTTCTCACTGGCCGAGCTCTGCAGGACATCACGGATCGTCTGGCAGGTTAGAAAAGACTATGTGTGGTGTGGAGTTTCTTCTGAACAATATTTCTGATAACAGTAGGAGGCAAAGAGCTCCTTTATTCACAGCTCAAGGCAGTATATTTCTATTTACAACTTTTCAAACTTGAAATAAGAAATGACTGCTTATTGAGTATATGGGCCAACTCTTTCTCTGGAGGATCTCTGACTTATTAGCACAGGCATATCTCAGTCTTAGAGGTGTTGTTTTTAGCAACACACTGGCAGGACAGTCACTTTGAAAAGATTGGTATCACAATAAGTTGAATCAGTTGGGCTCATGTCTCCAAAATAGAGAAGAGTAGCTCGCAAAAAATATATACAGTACATGATTTATTCCACAGAGATTTAAATGTTGTCCCATTCTGTTTGTTGAGGGTATTCAGCTGAGTTTATTTCCTAATAAAGATACAAAGTTGTTTTTCTGGAAATTTCTGTGTCAGGTTTATGAATACTGGATAAACCAAATATTCCACTTCAGTTGCATTTTAGATACAAACCAATAAATACTTGCATTTTCTTTCCCCTTTATTCTTTGAATTTTTAAATATAGTATAACAGTTCTGGTTTAAAGTAATTGGAAAACAGTGAAGAAACCATTGAACAAAGAAATTGATATAAGCTTTGACAAGAAGTCTAAATTAAAATATAATATAAAGGTATACAACCATGATTTAAGAAACTCTGATTTTTTTTTTCTTAAGAAGGAATGAGAGGAAGAAGAGAGATGTGGCTAGAACATTCTCAGTAAAATAAACTGGTTTATTGATTTTGTTTCTTGGACCAAAGTTGTCATGTCCTTTCCAGGCATTTGGATGACTCAGGAATTATTTCTGAAAAATGGTTTTTCCCCTGCTGCAAACCAATTGCTATGATCTCTTTAATCTATTGGGCAATGGAAGCAAACGTTTGCCAGAGGTCCAATCCACAGCTGTGATCTAGAGAACAGATCACAAACTCCTTATAGCAGAACCCCAAAATTGAAACTAGTTCCTTCAATATATGCATCCTAAAGCTTATCATGATCATTTTTCATTGGCCACTGAGATGTAACTGGACTCAAGATATCCTCATCAGATATCACTAAAAGGTCACTAGCGTCACTGGTGTTTGACCCATGGAGTACACTTTAACTTAGTGTTGCAGTTTAGAAATTTGATATGGACATTTTGAATAAGTCTCTATTTGAAATAGATAACCAAGCCATCTATTATGCTGTAAATCAATCACTAAAATCAAACAGCATTCAAGAGCTATAATTTTTCCTGGGGGAAAAAAGCACTGAAGCCACAAAACTGCAATAATAATCATTTAAGACCAGAAGAACTTCCATTTAGTAAAATTACCAAATGGCTTTATAATAAAACAGTTAAGTACTTACCCTATTCCTCTAAATCCAGTTTTATACTCTATAAATGAAGTGGCACAAGAATGACAGCACAGATTTGTTATTGAGGTACACTTTCTCAGGTTTTTTTACTGCTTATGAAATGTTTTGGATGAAAATAACGTTCTTTTAAAAATCTGTATGGACTGTGCATATCTACTTTTTTAAATTAATAGCTATATTTTTCACAGTTTAAATTTTGAATACACAGAGCTTTAGATTTGATGTAGTAAACTGTCCTCCCAAATATTTGAATGAATAATGAATAATTAATTTCTTGAAAACATATATGAACCATTATGCCATAAGCACCCTTAGCCACAGACCAGAACAATAATGGTAATTTGCAAAAAATATCCAGACGATGTTGTACAAATTATTATTTAGAAATTATTATTACTATAGCTTTTACAATGAGCAATAAATTTAATGTACATTGTTTAATAATTCTAACATCAAACATATAAGGTGGGTCATTATTATTTCACATTTCAGGCTGCAAAGGAATTAACAGTAATTCCTTTAAAGTCACCATTAGGCCTATAGTTGCAGTGAGAAGCCACAACAAAATTAAGATTCAAAATTTAGCCTTTCCCTTATCCAATGGCCAACTCGCCACAACGAACTCGCCACACCCAATTCACCATGGCCAACTTGCCATAGCCAACTTGCCATAGCCAACTCACCAAGAGACAACTCAGTGAGTGACAAGAGTTACACTAATATCAAAGAAATGGTGGAATAGAATCATTAAAGAATGGATGCAAAAGGAGAGACCCAATGAAACGTGAATGACAAAAATTAAAATACGTTTTTATTTATTTAAAATAATTAAATTGAATTGTTAAAATTGTCCTGTGGTGAGTTGTCCTATGGCAACTTGGCCTTAAGATTAAGAACAAAACTAATTTCTTAATTCATTTATGTTTTTTTGTTTTAAAATAATAACCAAATATCAATATTCAGAGCTGCTGCTGACATGTGCAGAATTCCACTTAGTGCCCCCAAACCATTTTTAAATATTCAAAATATATTTTAGGTATAATTACATAACACAAGGAATTGACAAAAAAAAAAAAAAGATTCAAATCGCATTTATATACAGTTTTTGTTTCCAACCTACTGTATTTTGACTTTCCTAGCTTTTAAGTTTGTACATTTCTTTATTAGTCATAGGTATGTGTTCTGTCACCGGTCTCTGCAGCTGACTGTACATACATGAAGCCTGTGTTCCTATGTTATTGATATTAGATCTCCTCTTTTTTGGATGATCTCCTTCTATGTAACTATGCCATGTGGCTTTTGAGGCAAACTGGATGAGACCAGACACTGGTCAGATGAGATGTGTGTCCTTCTTAGCACAGAGCACTGTTTTCTATTTAGCTAGGTTTCACTTGAATGGTTTTTTTTCCTAATGATTTTTGGAGCTAGTGCCTGCCCCTCATGCTATGTGCTGCTGTGGCACATAATTTGCACATCAGATTGTGGCACCCTGTCAGTAGTCAAATTCTCAGATAAATAGCAATAATACTGGCATTATAGAAGCTTAAAGCACTGAAAAGTTTGTTTAAACAGTCATACCTTATGTTCCATTACTTGCAAGACGTTTCCATGGATATTTCCATGGGGACTAATTTCAAGAATTTTAGCAATTCTGCAAGATTACTTGTTCTGTTATAAATCTGTTGAAAACTTTATTAGAAAAGATGACCCCATGTTCACTCTCTCCCTTCAAACCATGTTATGACTCTATTGCTCTTGTCCATTGATACAGTCCAATTGGCAAAGATTGCCTATGTAAGCAATCAAGGAATGGAGGAAATACAGCAATAAGGAAAAAAACTGCCTCTATTACTAAAGCAGAGAGTAGATTATTATCCAGAAAGATTTCCCTTTTATAAAAAGTACTGATGTATACCTAACAACAACATATGAAAATACCAGGCTAAAATTTAAATAAATGACTGTTATTTTTATCTATTTAATTGCACAATACTTTTAATGCTTATTTGAGGAGAGTACAGTGGTAACTTGGTATTCAACTGCTTTGAAACTTATTGAATTTGGTACTCAATGCATTTGGACATGAAATTTTTGCCCCGGTACTCATCGTTTTTTGGTACTCAATGCACAAGCTAGAATTTGTCAGTGTCGGCTGCCTTGTGACTCACTACATTATTCCTTATGGGAAAAAAATGTTTGGTACTCATTGTTTTTGGTACTCATTGCACTTTCCAGAACCAATTAACGATGAATACCAAGATACCACTGTAATACAAACATAACTAAGTAAGCAGTTGTTCATTGAAAAGGAAATTGTCTTAACAGTTTTTCAAGTTTCAGTGCTACATCTGCAATCAAAAAAGTGAGCAGCTATCTAGTTCACTATTTCTCAACCTTGACCACTTGAAGTTATATGGACTTTAATTCCCAGAATTCCCCAACCAGCCAAGGTTGAGAAACATCAGTCTTGTTATTTACAGATCTGCAATCTTTTGCTTTCAGGTCTTGTGGCTGTTGCTTATCCACGGAAGCCTCTAGTTGTGGAACGTTACATCCTTCCTGTTCTCTGGTATTTCCTGAACAACATGATTGGTAATGGGGTATTACCTGGGAAGAGTGGAAACGTGAGAACCGTGGTCTCTAAACTGGCTAAAAGCTTGCACAAACAAATGGGGCTGAAACTTGAGGAATATGTTTGCAACCAACCACAACATGTGATCAAACTTTTTCAAGATCTTCTAGATATGGATCTTCAATGAAAAAAAGCCTGTTACTATTTCTGGAACAATTATAGTGGGACATTTCAAAGAGAAGCAAAAATGGATAATGATACAGAACTTGCCATTACTTAACCTTTTTATTTTTGAAGTGTAAGAGTCTCCTGTTGAAAGCTTTTAGTAATAACCCTATAATGGAAAATGTATATAATGTATTTTGCTGTAGAATTAAATCATCTATTTTTTTAAGGTTTAAACTCTACCACTTTTGACCCATAGAGATTTCATCAATGATAATAATGCATAAAAGGCACAGCTGTAACTTTTATATGTATAAAAAGAGAAAATTATTTATGTAATATATATCAATATTGTGTGATAAAGTGATAGAGGTAAACTTTAAACCACAATACTTCCTCTATCTCTATGGATTGTCAGTTAGAGAAGATGGATTACATGACCACAAAAAGATGCCAGACTAAGCAAATACCAATTAGTGGTACAGTAGTGGCCAAAATTGTAGAAACCTTTAGGGAAAAGTGTGTTTTTGAGGTTTGATGGCTAATAACACCACTTTTTTTCTTTTGAGTTTCAAGATAATCATATTCCACTGCTGGAATGGCCTGGGAATAGTCCAGACCTTAACCCAATTGAAAATCTATGGAGCCAATTAAAGAAACTTGTTAGTCAGAAGCGACCCAGCAATAAAACCCAGTTAATAGAAGCAATCATTCAATCTTGGTTTCACATTATAACAGCTGCAGAACTAAAAGATTTGGTTCACTCCATGGGAAGACTTAAGACCATAATTCATACTAAAGGTTACCCAGCTAAGTAAACTGACATGATAATTTTTGTATATCTCATTTTTTCCACGTTTCACTTTTCTTCTTTATACTGTAACTGCTATTCTAATAGCAACTCATTCATAAAAGTTATTGCATTACATTCTTGATTAAATTATCTTTCCATTGATATATAATTTTATAATACTACTCCCAGAAAAAGTAATGTTATTAGCTAGTTTTAGAAGATACACTTTTTCTCAAAAGGTTTCCACAATTTTGGTCACTACTGTACCTTCCAAACTGTCATGTAAACTGCGCACTAAAGTTATTCCTTAGGTGGTAACTGGAAAAAATTGTGAAGGGAAGAAGAGGAAATCTGAAATATAAATACTGGGCACAAAATGCATAAGAAATATTCCAAACAATATTTTTCTTCCATTCAGTTAACTTGTTATTGAGGCGATGATACACAGTTTTTCTACTTAGTACTGGCATAGTATATTCTCATTTTTAAATTTTTGTTTAAAAAGCCATCAAGGAGGAAAAAAATGGAATACCATACTTATCAGATTGGTTTGGTTGCTGTTTGGAAGAACCAAGAAAATCTCATTTATCTCAATTCCTTAATGTGTTAGGAACTGGACTGGAGATGATATAACTTGTCACTACTTTCCATTCATTGTTTTTGAATCTGCCTCTCCTCACTTAATTAGCAAAGTATCTATACAGCCCTTCCTTTAGTAATACAATACAGTAGAGTGGTTTGGAACATCTGGAATTGTCTGGTTGTACTCCAGGACTAGAAGCACTAGCCTTTGGCAATGATTTCCACATTCATTCTGAAATACTAGAAGTCAAAATTAATCCCTGCAGCATTTCTATATGGACAGCTGTCATTTGCTAACATGGCATGAATGTCCATCATCATTAGAGCAATATTTTTTTAAAGTAAAATTTTTTAATTATTAAAAATACATTTTAGACTTCCTTTATTTGCATTTCCACTTTGATCCTCTGTGTTCAAAAAGCATTGAGTGTCAGCCCCAAAGGATAAGTCAAGAAATCAATGCCATATCGGTAAAAAAAACTATTTTTATCAGAACAGCTATAATAACAGGATCTTGCAAGTCTGAATGTGCTTCCCACTCTCTCATTTTATCTCCATGTGAATTAGGGATGGGCCTATCTGAAGCATTTTCTCAGATTAATTTCTTGGAATGGATTTAAGCTGCACTTATCTGATCATTGCCTTGGAAATGGATCTTTCCTTTATCCTTCAAAGCCATTCCCTGTTGTCTCTACATTAACCTGAGAGTGAGGTGGGAAGGATTATTTGAAAGAAAATAGCAGTCTAAGGGCAGCTAACATGGGTATTTTGTCTAAACTAGCAGTAATCAGAAGTAATTAGCACCAGAGGTTTGTAAATGCCCTTATACTGCTATGGGTTGACTCTCATGAATGTCTGAAAAACAAAAAGCTTACTGCCTTAGCCTAAATGTAAAGCCAAATGAAGTGTTCCCTCAAACCAGACCCAAAGCCTATATGTTCCTGAACTATTTTGAGAATGGCCCCATAGATCCTTTGCGATAGGGAGGGGGAGAGCATAAGTGGAAATTGAATGCAATTCTAATTGTAATCAAGTTCCTTATTAAAATCTTTGACAAGTTAAGAGCAAAAGTATTTAAAGAAAAACTCAAGTGATATTGGTGTTCTTTCTTGTGACATTTTAAGAGATTTACGATTTACGATTTAGAAGCCAAGGGGGAAAGGAATGTGTCAGTTTGGTGTGAATTGTTATAAGCACATTGAAGATATTCAGCTGTACCTCACCACATCAAGCCATGTCAGGAATATTGTGGAAAGCTTGAATCAATATCTGAAGTCTCAGGTAAAATAAACCCAAGCTAAATACTTATCTCCAGAATTAATTGCTGTATGTCAATAAACATCTGAAGACATCAGTCCCAGTAGTTATTCTGAATAAGGTTAAACCCACACCATAAATTGGTGTCTGGAGCTTCTCTTGGACTCTTGGATACTGCCTAAACAACAGGTGGAGCTGTGGCTGCTGGTGGTGGGGGCTTCGCCCAACTTTAACTGGTGTGCCAAAGGCCTACCTGGACCCAGATCCCTGGTAATTGATGCCATAATCTCAATATATCTGGATTACTGTAACATGCTTTATTTGGGATAATATTTGCAATATTTGAAGAAAAAAGTTGCTAGCCCCACTATGTGGAGCAAATCAACTTCACAGAATGTCTAAAATCACTTTTATTGAGATTGATATAATCATGGAATTTTCAAGTCTTATGGTGCTGCATGTCCTATTTCTTAAAGTTAAGCGAGTTAGGGAGATGTCTATCTGAGCTGATTATGAATGTTATCTGGCTGTTTTGGACTTTAAAATGTTTCAGATATTTTTGCTTAGATAACAGTTCTTGCATATTTCCATCAAGCTCTACAGAAGCTGCAATGATCCAAGATGTGCTGCTGGTGAATCAGTCCTACTATTGCAGGGCAACACTGCTTCTAATATTTTTGCACTGGTTACCAGTAGGTTTCCCAAATCAACTGAATCTGCACATCTAAGAACATCTCAAGAAGATTTGCTGAAAGTCTTCCATTTTTGAGAAATTAGGTGGACAGCTTGGAATTCTGGGAGTTGAAGTCCACAGGTTGTAAAAGAGCCACATTTGCCCCCCCTGACTAGGTGACAGCATTTTCTGAGGAAGAGGTTCTATTTTTTTATGTGTTTTGAGAAATCCCCTCCCTCCTCATGTTCTGTGAGGCAGATAAAACAATCCTATTCTAACATGCTGATTGTTCAATGGCATCCACCATTGAGTGAGTCAATTAATTTGAAATGCTGTTTGTATGTGACTAGGCCACCCACATTCTCTGGACTGGTGTGAGTTAAACAATCTATACATGAAATAATGCTAATGTGGAATTGCAACAGTGAGAATTTGGCGCAATTATACAGTAGAGCAACTCTTTCCTTAGTGTGTTCACTTTAAAGTCAAAAAGGGGAAAGCAAGTTTTTACTCTGTAAACTTGTTAGGTGCATGTACAAAGACTCTTGGCAACTTCTAGGTGAATAGCAGTTTTGGATCTTCTCAAAATCCCATGTATTTTTCCAAGACTAGGTTAAATTTTCCTTTCTCTCTAAATTCACATTGTGTGGCTTATGAGTTGACTATGCATATATGAGGAAAACAACCCCCGTTTGGATCCCAATCTCCCTTAAGTAGGGGATACTCCTGCTAATGAAAATAGACAGAAGTCAGTTTTACTAACAGTATTTCCTTTTTTAATGGTCTGAAAAAACATGCAAGGTGAAACTGAGAAGGCAGAAGGAGAAGACAATACCAGGAAACAGCCTCTCTCCTTTGGATTGGAATGTTTTCTGGCAATAAAAAGACTGCTGAGGGTTAAGGGTAGGAAACAGATGGGATTAGATGGAGTGCCAGGATTTGCAAAAGAGAATTGGTAAATGCTTCCTCCTGCCCTTGATTCTCTTCTAAAATAGTTCTTCATAAAATAAGTGAACATAGGAAAAAACATAGGATGAGGCACAGACACCCCATTCACCGACCCATCAACACTATATATATGAGAGAGAGAGAGAGAGAGAGAGAGCAGGGCTGTCTAACGCATGGGCCTGATGGGCCCTTGCTTGTGGGCCCCACGAGCATTGGGCACCTATACTAATCTGCGTATGTTAACTCTCCAATCACCTTGTATCAGGGTGGATAAAAATCAATGATTTTTTTAAAAAAATCAAAAAAATCAGATTTTTTTAATTTAAATCGGATTTTTTTGATTTAAATTGGATTTTTTTGATTTTTATCGAATTTATTTTAATAAAAAACTTTTGGGGTAAAAATCTATCGTAAGATAGTTTTCTATTTAAGATACATAAATAATTTAGTTTATTCAGCATGAAATGGAGCTTAGTTATGTAGCATGAGGCTGTATATTCTGCAACGCTGGGACTATCGGTGAGTCAACAGTGGGTCAAAGGAGTAGCAGAGATGACAGTTGCTCTTTAAAAATTATGATTTAAATTGAGTTGATTTAAATCAAGCCTTTTTACTAGTGATTTAAATCATGATTTAAATTGTGATTTAAATCAACTTGATTTAAATCAAATCCACCCTGCCTTGTATCATATAAATACAGCAACATATTTATTACATTTTACTGCACTTTTTAAATTAATGTTAATATATGTTTAATTTTATCATCCATTTACATTTTATCCCTGTGAGTAGTTGTACACTGCTTTGCCCAGGGCCCATAATGCTGATAAACAGGTGGTGGGGGGAGAGAGAGAGAGGGTGGGAGGGAGGGAGAAGCATTTGTTTTATTTATTTGTTTATTAGTTTGTTATTCCACCTTTTGCTATCCTGAAACCTGCCTTGCAATTTATAAAGTTTTATTATTTACTTAAAAGGGATCCTGTACTGCTGCCTCATTCTCAGGTGCCTGAAAACATAGAACCGTTACAATCTGAAGCTTTCTTTTTGAAGAGGCATTATGAATCACAATCACACTTACCTAGCACCCACCACAAAAGGATCAGTAAGTGTCAGGTCAGTTTAGTTGGCAAGAGTTGTGCAAAGGCTTAGGTTTCATCAGCCTCTGCTAGATTTATCCTGTTGACAGAGTGTGCCAGTTTCTACTCCAATTTTCTTGTTTAACCTTCACAAGGACACAGCAAGCAGCATTAGACATATATACACAGAGATGCATACTCACATGGATGTAAACACACAGATACATGCAGTTACACACAGTACAGAAGAGTGCAATTCAACTCACACAGAGCACACATAAGGATATAATTCACAGTGTGGAAATGTAGAAACTTTTTTTGGTTAGCCAGTTTTAGATTGTCTTGTTATTATGCTGCTACATCCCATTTTTTCTGAACGAAACAAAGAGCAATATATAAGAGCATAAATGTAGTATTTTTCTTACAATGAATGTGTATTAAAACAGAATTGAAAATTTCAAACCGGGCTCTCAATTATTTGTTCCATTCCTATAGATTAATTTTGAAATGGCCTTTTAACTTTGAAATGGCACCTTGGATGATTTTGAGACAGTCAATATCTCTCACTCCAACCTATTTCAGAGGACTGTTACGAGGATAAAATAGAAAATCCCTCAAGATTACCTTGAGCCTCCAGTGGAAAGCAGATATAAAGGGAATAATAAAATGAATAATAATCAGGAGGAGGAAGGCTTGAAGAATAGGAAGAGAAACACCTCATGCTGCTAATAGTAGCAGACAGCCCTTAATACTTGAAAGATCAAATAATGCTTGAAATATCAAATAAGCATATTGATAAGAATTCTTGGGCCCCAAACAGGCAATATTAACATTTTATATATTAAGGAAAAATACAATTTTTTAAATTGCATCCAAGAAATGCAATTTTTGAGGCACTTCTCTGTGAAAAAGTTACACTATTCAGAGCATTGAAACAGAGGTTCCAAGTCCATGTTCAAAATTTATGTACGTGCAGTTTGTATATGCATAAAATATGTTAGGTGAGACCCTCATTTGGGGAAGAATGAATGGGGAAGAAGGAACAGATGACAAATGACTTGGGAGAGCTTTTCTGGAGATTATGGAAATCATCCTGATATCAGAATAGTCCATATTGGGCTAGATGGAAAATGAGTCTGATTCTGTAGACTTGACTTAGGAACCATCTTCTCTATTCTCCAAAGACATTCAGGCTATCCAAACTGAAATTTGAGACAACAAATTTGCAGGCAGTCTTAAATCTTGCCATGCTATTTCATACACAACTTCATGGAAAGAAAATTTGTTGTATGGAAAAGTCTACAATGGGAAGTTTTAAGAAGAAGATCTTAGTTATTTCCATAGCATCCAATCCAGAGGACCCTGTGAATATCCTGCTTAGTAGTTTTTCTAAAAGTGTGTGCATGTGTGGGTGCGTATCACAGGTGGGTTCTACTTACCTCCACTACCGGTTCACAATGGGAGTGTGTGAGCGCTTCTGCGCATGTGTACATCGTCCATGATGATATCCATGATGACATCCGGGTGGGTGAGCGGAGCCTCCCATCGCCATTACTCCTGGTTTGCAAGAACCAGACCAAACTGGGAGCAACCCACTACTGGTCCGTATATGGGGATAGAATTTCCGAATCAAGTGCCTTTGTTGGAGGTATAAATCCTCTTCCAAAGCCAATTAGAATAAATCAGAATAAATGCAGACAACAATGATGGGAATTCAAGGGCAAGAGTCTAGAAAGGACGACTTTAAATGTAAAAATAACAGGAAAGGGGAATATTTTGTAAGATTTGATCCTTGGTCTCTTCAGTAAAGAGGTTTGACATTATGTAATCCAGCTTTGTTCCATTTTAGTTTGAGAAAGTTTTAATTAATGCACCTACTCTACCTCTTTGAAAGGCTGGGTCTGCCTGCTTTGGATATTAAACACCTTGGAGTCTTTTTTCTCACAATGCTAAGATAAAGCAAACCCACACAGATACCAAAAAGTGCAAGTCTACAAATGTGCAGGGTCTTATGCTTCCTGATATTTTCTAACCCGCCATAACCTGAGAAAAAGATTGAAACTTGTTTACGTGTAGTTTGTAGATATTTAATTTATGGCCTATGTTTTGTGTGGGCGATGCAACAAAGATTTTTCTCTTGGTTGTCTCTGAACCCTTCCCACCCTTCTGCCGACTTTCTTTATGAGCAATTGTTGTTCACAGCGGGTCTGCCTTCATTCGTAGGCATGATAATTAAGCTGAGCAGTTAGCTTAAAGCCTCCTGCGTGTATACACAAGTGAGAGAGAGAATAAAGAAATAATTTCCCTATTCAGAAATGCCAATAGGATCTGCTTGGATGCTATTTTTAAGACCGAGATGTAAAATCAAATGTTGGAATCTGGATGAACACATATTATTAG